TTTGGTATCAGAGCCTAACCCTGGTCGTGGTGTGCCGACGAGGACGTCGGGCCCCTAAGGGGGGTGGATTGTGACATCCCACAACGTCCAGGGGAGTGATCCTTAAATGTATATTCCCATCCCTACCTAGCACAAGGCCTTTTGGGAGCTCACTGGCTTCGGGTTCTATCGGAACTCCGAAGTTAAGCGAGAAGGGGGCTTGAGCAATCCCATGATGGGTGACCCACTGGAAAGTTGCTCGTGAGTTCCCAAAAACAAAACCGTGGGGGAATGGTAAGCCCAAAGCGGACAATATCGTGCTACGGTGGTGGAGCGGGCCCGGGAAGTGGTCCCGCCCGGGCCGGGATGTGACAGTACATATAAGATTTAAAAATTGAAAATATATTTTTGAAGAAAAGCTAATGGGTACAAACTTATTCTAATTTTATTTATTTATTTTGGAAATGTTTTGAATTGAAAATTAGTTAAGAGTTTAATAAAGGTGTGAGTATTAAAATTCTAAATCAATTATTAATTTTTATTTTAAAAAATTATGTAACTGACATGTGAATTCATTATTACATTAATAATAGGAACTTTGATCAAAATTTGAAAATTAATAAATTTTCAGTCAATAAACATTAGTAATTAGAGACCGGATACTAATTTTTCCAATTTCAAATTTATTCTTCTACGCAAAAATTGATGAATATTTGACATTATGTATACTCAAAACTTGCCGCCTGCATGTACCAATAAGAACACAACCCAAATATATAATAGTCAAATAAAGGTCTGTATAGTAATTGGGAATATTTTTGCTCACCCTTAAAGTGGGTTGATGGGTTGATGATGATCACCATCAATTCATTGTTGTTAGAATAATTTAAATTTTGAGATTTTATGTTTTAGATCAATTAAATTAAATTAATTTAACAATAACCAATGAGGTGGTGAGCATCATTTTTTTTGAACAAACGATATTATTTACACTAAGGGTGGAAGTGAGTTTAATCTCACAATGGGCTAGCAATAATATGGTTCAAATTCGTCTTTGGCGAGAATCGAACTTAAGACCTCTTGCTTACAAATGAAGAGGAATACCACTAGATCGTAATACTAACTGGTGCATCACCTCATTTAAGAGTGAACCAAAATGATCTCATTGTAATTTACCATTTAATATGAATTCGTAACCCTAGCTAGTGGCACACTTCTATGAAGGGAGCTTCAATTAAGGGACACTTTTGTAGGGTATTGTATTTCAATAAAGAAATAGTTGCAAATATTGTGGGAGCCTCATTGGAACCTTAAAGAAAATTCATTGTGAAAACTCTGAACGAAGGAGAAAGAATGCCACACCCTCCTTACACCTCCAGAACCGGTCTACCGGCAACAATACACAATCCAATAGCCACGCTTGGTCAACTCCAAATCAGAAAATTAAAATTCAAGGTCTGTGATCGTTTATAAGGTATCCCTCAAATAACTTAAATGTGTTGTTCAACAAGTTTACGAACAGAAACACACCGTACTACATGGTTGTAAAATGCGATCAAAGATCAAAGTTGTGAAGATGACACTACATATATATATTGGGACAAAATAATTGATGATCCTATCGATCTTGTTTCCTCCCAAAGAAAGTATAACCTAAATTATCACTCTAATAATGTTTGATTTAACTTGAACTCATGTGTGACATTCCAAGGCTTTTGTTAAAAAAAAAAAAAAAGAACATATATATGTAATGATATACACACACACACACACACATATCTGCGTGTATATAATTTGTCTCAATGTTAACTTAGGACATACTAAAATAAAGTGAATAAATTTTGAAATTCTATACGAAATATTCAGGCATAAGGAAAAGAATATACGGCGATTTCCCCTTTTATACGTACTTCTAGAAACAAAATCGTCGTTGGCTCTATAAATATGGCACATATGTATAAAATTACAATTGAAGTACGAAATTGATAGGATACCTCAATTTGTAGAAACATTTAACCCATCTCCTAACAGATGTGGTTTTCCTAGCATCATCCTCGAAATAAATAGTGCACAAAACATCGATAAAAGATTCAAATTGCATGTGAGCTGTAAAATGGACTCAAATTTGATACCACAATATGTTCGGACAATGCTATGGGGCCAAATTATTTTTATTTATGCAAAAGCCACCGACTACAGCCTACCAACTTTGAAGCTTAATTTGGGATTTTATCTCATAAAAAAGTTAAGACGACCACGTCGTTCCACCCCAACCAGTATGAGGGCTCGGAAAGAGTTTTCTCATCGAGCTGCGTCTAGTACACGGACGATCAGACCGAAAAATATCTCACTTTCTTAAATGCCTATGTCATTATTGCCATAAGACACATCTAAAGGCCATTTTCTAGGAATTACAATAACTGTCTGCACTAAATGACCGATCTACTTGTGCCCCAACTCAACAATATGATCGAGGTTGCTCTTTCTCCACTGTCTATAAATAGAGCCAGAGGCCTTCAAGCTAAGGATTTTCATCAAATTCAATCTATATGATCAATCAACTCAACTGCTTTTCAGCCCAACCTGAATTGATCTTTAGCAAAAACTCTCTTAACTCTTGAACTACAGTCTCAATGTCTTCTTTTGAAGCAAACACTCTTACAATCTAAAACTTTTACATCTTTACCACCCCATGGTATGATTTGGTTGATGTGCCATTACAACCCTCTTAGATGCGTATGTTTTGTACTGCTCCAATTTGATACCAGTGATCTCGGTGGACTTCTCTAGCCTTATCTTGACCTTCATGGCCTGAATCTTACTATATTTTTTACTACTTTCTTTACATTTCTGGTCAATTTACATTTCAATTCATGTAGTTAGGCCCACCTGCCTAGATTTTACTTTTGTAAACATTTTGTCATCTTAACTCCACCATGAAATGATTACATTTTGTTTCACTTTAGTTTTTGTTTCGCTTTCATTTACTTTTTAGAAAAGTGTACACAAAGTTACATTAAATTTTAAGTGCTCGTTCCCTCGATGCAAGAAAAAATACTTAACTGAATCACCTTCGCATTTAGTGCACAATCATTTGATTAAAAAGTTAGATTTACGTGCAACTTTCACACACATTCGAGCCCAAACACTGTCTGGCGGTAGCCTCAAACAATGGCTCGTCTATTCTCTCTTTCTCTCGAGCCATTCCATAGCATTGAGACCAAAAAACACTCGAGCCAAATACGTGTGCAGGCTTCGTCTGAATTTCGGCACCAACAATTTCTGGTCGATTATCATTAACAAAGAAAATTTAACAGGTTAGACATACCGTCGATTTATTCTTGTCGATTATATATCAGTCAAATTACACATAACATATACGCTATCTGACAATTACATTTTACCGCATAAAATATTATGTTGAAAGCTGAAACCTAATCATCATATCTTTATATAGCATATATACGGTATCCCTATCGTGTGAGTTCTTGTTGTATGCAAGCCAAGATATATATTAATTTATTTATTTTCCTTACCAAAATGATATAGTAATTAACTTGGAGGTATCGCCCTAGATTTTTTTTTATAAATAAAAAAAAACATTGCTTTCCTTATTGCATGACGACATAACATCAATTTATCATACAAACATTATAATCTAAATATATTTTTTAATCATAATTCACAGATAATTTTTGAAAAGTTCAATCAATATATGGAGACCTTTAAGTTATCCACATGCATAAAAATGATAATTTATTATGAGGATGTTATTTGTTATTATAATGTTGATTTGTTAACACATATAGATGGCTAAACATTAAAATGTTGCCACGTAATTTTTTAGATTTTATTTTATTTTTGAGAGTTGAATTAATCCTAGCCGTCGAAACTTTCAAATTTTTTTATTGTTTACAGTTGGAAATCCACTGGTTCTGATCGACAGACCGTTTAGAAATCCAACGGCAATTTTTGCGCCTGATTTAAGTAAGACCTGGTTTGGTACTGAGGTGATTCTGAAAAAAGCTGCTATCAAAAAAAGCTGGGAGTTGTTTTTGTGTTTGGTAAACACTCAGCTTCAGCTTTTTTTCACAGTTTTGGATGAAAAAAAGCCAAAAACAAGAAGCTGCAAAACCTAGCTTTGAAAAACTGGCTTTTTTTCACATCTGTTTTACATAAAAGTTTACCAAACACTCTAATACTGCTTTTTTTTTTTCAAAAGCACTTTTACAAAAAAGTTTACCAAACACTCTGCTGCTTTATTTCACAGCTGCTTATTCTCACAGCACAGCGGAAGCAGTTTTTTTTCAAAGCACAGCAATACCAAACCAGCCCTAAGTTAGCTCTATGTCCTTCGCTTGGTGTGGGCCCACCAGGCCGCAAGCCCCTGCAATAATCAGCAGGGCAGTTGGCAGGGCACCTGCCTTTGCCAAAATTACCCTCTTATATTTTCACCACTGGAGCAAGTTTTGTGGGCAAGAAGGCAGTTTCACCTAAGTGCAAGGACAATTGGAAACTGCTGCAGATGCTGTTAATAAGAGGGATGGAAAATGATTCTTGTTGGATTTTTTTTCTAAGGATTTCATAATTGTGACCGTTCATTATACATCGTACTGTCATTTCAAAATTTAAAATTTAAATTTAAATATAAATAAGATCTAACAAAAACTGATCGTACAATATACAATAAACGATCACGACCACAAAATTCTTAAAATCCCCAGAAAAAAAATTTGCGAAATTCATTTTCCAAGAGGGAGATCTTTAGTTAAACTATCAACTCACAGCATGGTTTTCTCTTTAAAAAAAAAAACAGACAAAAAATTAGCTATGTCAGCTAGTGAACCGGAATTCCACCAATTAAGATTCCAAATTGGAGATGCTTCGCACAGGACATTTTAGCACTGTTTCTAATTAGTTAATTTACCCTATTTGCAATCTTTCCCTGCAGGCCCTCCTATATAAAGACCAGTACACCTCACACTCTTAACACCCAGCTGCTTAGTTCTTAGCTAGTATTCATGGCTTCCATAACATTTTCAGGCACTACTGGAAACTTCTCTTTGCAGCCAACAGCTGCCTTTTCTGAGAACTCCAATCATATAAAAGATGGGTTTAATCCCTTAAAGAAGAACTTGAGTAATACTAGTAAAAAACACAATGGTCGGAGCTTGGTGTCCACAAATGTAGCAAGTCCACCATTGCCGGCAATAGCTCATCCACCCCCAAAAAGAGAGAGCGGCAATGGTTACGACGGGAGTCACGTGGCATGGACGAGTGTGCGGCAGGAGAGATGGGAAGGAGAGCTGCTTGTCCAAGGAGAAATACCATTGTGGCTGGTATGTGATCGTTCACTAATTCATTTCATGTATATAATTATTGGTTTATTCTATCAAAGAATTGTTGCTAAGGATTTCATGTACATGTATATAAGCTTGAATGTAGAATTTATGTGGACGAGTGATATTTCCTTGTCAATCCTGTTCAAGTTTATTAAAATTCAACGTAATAAATTGTTTGAGATTCATAATAACATCATATCTTTTACTGCCCAGACAATAGAATTTATTTGGATTAAGTACCAAAAATTCCCCAACTTTCTAGTGTCATTCCAAATTGGTTTCAATTTTTTTAAACATTCCAAACAAGTACTTAACCTATCACATCTATTAAGCCCTAGTTAAATTTTTATTAAATTAACTAGGGCTTACTTTTGCTAAAAAAAAATTAAAAAAATGGGGCTTCCTTTGTCTCCAAAATCAATAAAAGGTAATGGAAGCCAACCACCAACTCCACCCTACAACTCAAGCCGCCAACATCGAAAAGAAGGTCAAGGAAGATGCTCAAATGGTATAAACTACCATGATGCACCCACCACCATCTTCACCGCCTACAAAGAACTGGAAGCTTTACGAGACAAGAATCAGTGAATGAGAAAATCACAAAAGCAGAAACAAGCTCCATGATCTTCTTCTCAATGTTGGATGCTTGAGTTATAGGGTGTAGTTGGTGGTTGTGTGTTGGGTTTGGAATTGATGGCTTGATGGGGGTGGTGGTGATTGTTAGTTGTCGAAGCCATGCTTCCATGACCTTCTATTGATTTTGAAGACAAAGTAAACCCTAATTATTTAACAGAAATTTAACTGGGCTTAACGGATGTGATGTTTTAATAGGTTGGGTACTTGTTTGAAATATTTTAAAAAATTGAGACCAATTTGAAATATCGCTAAAAAATTAGGAGATTTTAGGTACTTAATAAACAATAACGGATAGGGTTAGGCCAAAAATAAATAAAAAAGCCAAATAACTAGGTACAATGTTGTCAAGGGCGGATCCACATAGGGACCTGGGAGGTCCCAGGACCCGTCGGCGATTCTCAATCGCTGCTATAAATTTTCCGGAGACCCCTCGTACTTGAGCATGAGGTCTGTGCAGATTGTAGGTTGCAAGTTGCAGTGGCTGTCTTCTTCTCGGAGAAGATGACCGCACGAAGAAAGAAAATAGGGACCTTTCCTGCCTCTCTCCTCCTTGCTTATGCCATGGTCTCATCCGTTGGTGCCACCCACTTCTCCTCCAACCTTTCTCTGACATCTGGTGGGGGCAGTACATAAGCCCAAATTTTCCCAAATTATTTCAACCATCTTAGTAATTTTTCTTATGGGTGAAATTTCCTTCATAAGGTTAGTAAGATGGATATGATCTATCATGGGTTGGTGAAATTTGGGGGTGAAGCTGCCATGGGGAGGGAGAATGGGGAGGGATGCTGTTGGTGGAGGTATGACAGCTTTGTTCTTAGTGAGAGAGAAGGTGGATGTTTGGAAACCAGTAAAAGAGAAAAAAAGGTGTGTTTGGTTAGAAAGATAGTGAGAGTTTGGGGAGAGTTTTATTTGACCGGTATTTTTGAATGAAATGTATTATATTTAAATTTTCAATGTTATTTTTGTCTATAAATTTTTTGACCTTTATAATTGGGACCCTCCGAGTTTAAAATCCTGAATCCGTCACCATCATGTTGTGAGCCAAAGTAAGGTCTTTTTTATTCAGTAAATTGCCGGAAATAGGAATAGAAGAAAGCTCAACCCCCATTACTTTGATCGTGCTTTTTCTTTCTAATCTTTATTGCTTCGTAAGTGAGAGGCCTACCACGCACACAGAAAGAAGATTTGTCCTTGATGTGTGTGTCTTCTTGCTAAATGCTAGTGCTAAATCTGATTAATGAATTAATCAACTTGCTGTCGATCGCCACGTACAAACGTTGTGCTGGCCAAAGTATACATATATTCCTCACTTTAATTACTTTTAAAATGCTACAACAACTCCTCGACAAGAATGTCATTGACGTTTGCCTTGTCATTTCTTTTTATTTTTTTACCAATTATTTTTATGCTTCAGAACGTATCAGTGTCTCATTCCAAATGTATTTCTAATATTTCGATCTACAGGTATTTATAGACAAAATGATTCAAATTTATTGAGCACCATATTATTATAAAAGGTGAACATTTATCGAATATACAGCTGGCTCATAATTAACTTAATGTCACATGCAGAAAGGGACGTACCTAAGAAATGGTCCAGGGCTGTGGCACGTCGGGGACTACAACTTCCGCCACCTATTTGACGGCTATGCCATGCTCGTCAAACTTCACTTCCACAACGGTCGCCTCACTGCTGGCCACCGCCAGATCGAATCCGAGGCCTACAAAGCCGCCATGAAGAACAAAAAATTATGTTTCCGTGAATTCTCTGAGGTCCCTAAGCCTAACAATTTCCTATCTTATATTGGTGAGCTAGCCAACCTATTCTCCGGTGCATCACTGACTGACAACGCCAACACCGGAGTGGTTAAGCTCGCCGATGGTCGGGTTGTGTGCCTCACAGAGACCCAGAAAGGGTCAATAGTGATTGATCCTGCTACCTTGGAAACTGTAGGGAAATTTAAGTACAGTGACACATTGGGTGGCTTGATACACTCGGCACATCCTATCGTGACCGATACGGAGTTTTTGACTTTGTTGCCGGATTTAATCAACCCAGGATATTTGGCAGTCAGGATGGAGCCGGGGACTAATGAGAGGAAGGTGATCGGGCGGGTTGATTGTAGCCGTGGACCGGCTCCGGGTTGGGTGCACTCTTTCCCTGTGACCGAGCACTACATCATTGTGCCCGAGATGCCACTGAGGTATTGTGCTGGGAATTTGCTCAAGGCCGAACCCACTCCCTTGTACAAGTTTGAGTGGCACCCTGACTCCAAGGCGTTTATGCATGTTATGTGTAAAGCTAGTGGCAACATTGTAAGTTCCTTCCAATCTGATGTTTTGGGTACTAACTATTTTGCTTTTTGTTCTTCTTTTGATTTATTAATTGTATACAATTTCTTTGTTTTGAAGGTGGCGAGTGTGGAAGTTCCATTATACATTACGTTCCATTTCATTAATGCTTATGAGGAGACAGATGAGGATGGTAGGGTGACTACAGTCATTGCAGATTGTTGCGAACACAACGCTGATACAACGATTCTGGACAAGCTTAAGATACAAAATCTTCGGTCGTATATTGGCAAAGATGTACTACCAGATGCCCAGTACGTACATGACATGAATATCTATCTAATATGAAAGCAAGAAAAAAGTTATCTTGCTGAATTTTTATCATGTTTATTATTTTGAAATTATTATTGGCAATCGAAAAATGTAGTTGTGCACTCTAAACTCTCTATATTTAGAAAAAAAAATACTATTTATGAGAAGTGTACAATTAAATTTTTGGAGTACCAATAATAATTCTCTATCATTTTCTAGAATAAAAAGCACAAAATTAACTCAATATGTGACCTAAATTCACCGACAAAAAAAAAAAAATTTATGTATTCAATTTAATGTGGAGCTAGCGATTAATTTGTTGGGTAATGCTAAAAAGACTAAATGTGTAAATTATATAAATTTTATAAAATAAGTAACATGAAAGCTGATGATTAGATTATTATTTAAATTTTGTAAACTAATTTGTTGTTGTTCTTTTGATGGAAAACACAGGGTTGGTAGATTCAGAATACCACTGAATGGGAGTCCATATGGAAATTTGGAGGCAGCACTAGACCCAAATGAGCATGGTAGAGGGATGGACATGTGCAGCATAAACCCTGCTTTTCTGGGCCAAAAATACAGATACGCTTATGCTTGCGGAGCTCAGCGCCCATGCAACTTTCCTAACACCCTCACCAAGGTATAGTTAATTATTAAAGTTACAAAATTACATGCCCTGCTTCCATTTTCCACTTTGTATCATATCATACCGATTTCGAGCTAATTTCTTATTCAAATTCTTTGAATATATATTTGCAGATTGATTTGGTAGAGAAGAAAGCTAAGAATTGGTACGATGAAGGGGCAGTGCCATCCGAACCGTTCTTTGTGGCCCGTCCTGGGGCAACTGAAGAAGATGATGGTGAGATTACTTTACTAAAAACTAAAAGTTAAACTAATTAAAATTTTGAAAACTCACAATAGTTTTTTTTTTTTTTTTTTTTAGTTTCATTTTTGTCAAAAGTAAAAAACGATATGATTATTAAACGATTCCTTAATATTATAAAATTACCTTCAATCAGAAAAACAAAAAAGAGTTCGTTTGGAACAATTTTTATGACATTTATATGTACATGATGTAGGTGTTGTAATATCGATGATTAGTGCGAAAAATGGAGATGGATATGCATTGTTATTAGATGGATCAACGTTCAAAGAGATTGCTAGGGCAAAGTTCCCCTATGGTCTTCCATATGGACTGCACGGATGCTGGGTTCCCTCCAAATAATCAAAGAAATGATGAACTAGCCAGTGGCAGTTCTAGTTTCGTTATTTACAGCTAGCCAAAAAATGTACCCACTTCGAATGCGTTGATGTGTAGGTCATGGTTAGCTAGGAACACAAAAATATGCTATTCATTAAGTTATATGATATGAATAACATTTAAGCAGACAGATATAGGCTAAAGTTAAGTATAGCAGTGTGACATATCTTTGTTCATATTTCTTAGCTTTTAAGTGAGCGTTGCGTGTAATGTACTATATTTGTAGGGTTGTCGAAAAATAGTTCACCATCTTAAGAGCCGTTTGATATTCATTTTATTTTCAGTTTTTGTTTAAATTTTTTAAAAATTGAAACTTATTTGCCCACGGAGCCAGCTTGGTATCAGAAAATAGAAATGCATTTAACTACTGCCTATTTGATAATTAAAACTCATTCAAAAGTTAACCAAACAATTTCGGCATGCAGATAAGAATAGGGGTAACTAATTACATGCAGAGAGCACGTCCGTAAGAAATGGTCAGAATTTTCTATCCATTGATCTGTTTTTATTCATTTTTTAACAGAGTTGAAGTTTCGAATTTTTTGACATCTTTTAACATTAATTTCATTTGTTGTGTATGAAACTCTATAGTTCATGACAATTTGCATTGTGCTTATGTAATTAAACTATAAACTATCCGATCATCCTTTACTTTTCTTCCAAACAAAATGAGCAGAGACTTTTGGCATGTTTACTAATCTGGATCGAGAATTGGAACTACTTTGATTGCTGATTTTCCCGCCGTTTACTAACCCACGACTATTGCAATTTCTCCAATTTACGACTTTTAACTTGGTAGAAATTGGAATCCAATCATCTGCTGAAAAACTGAAATTCTTTAGACCAAATTATAGACAAACTGAATTGTTAAGGGCTAATAAACTCTAGAGAGACTAAACTATGAAAAAGTTTCTGAAACCATGAAGCAGCAGAGCACAATAGTTGTTATCTGCATCCATTTTTCAACGCCAAAGCGATTCTGCAAGAAGTGCTTCCATTAGAAGTATGTTGTCACTTTCATAAAAAATACAAGTGTACCTGACAGATGCTTCTCCAAAAAACACTTCTACCATGACGAAGAAGCTCTCTTCTTAACCTTTTACACCAAACAGTCAATAAGCAGAGTTTCCAAACCCATGGAGCACAAGAGCAGAAGAGATGCTAGCTGCATCCATTTCTCAACGCCAAACTAAACCAACCAATTCGCCAATCCTTTCTTGCATCCACGTTCTGAGTCCTTTATCCAGCACAATGCACTTCAATGACGAGCATCGAAGAACTAAGTTTTCGATGTCACACACACTGACATTGAAGCAAGAACAGAAAACAATTGTCTCTAAGCACGCATGACTAGAAAATGCAAGAATGCCCTCACCGCTTACCAATTCACAGCCGGTTAAATCCAGCATCTCCAACTTCCGGCAATTCTCAGCAAGAGCAACGACTGTTTGATTTGTCACATTGATCAACCAAGACAGGTTCAATCTTTTAAGAGATCCAATTGCAGCAATTGAAACAACTCCGGAGTCGGTGATTTTCGGACCACATTCCGCCAAATTCAGCTCCACCAAGCCACACATAGTCTGCAAAATGGAGACCCCAAAATCAGTGATTCTATCACACTCTGCAAGATTCAGCCTTTTCATGGTTTTTGAGCAAGACCCATTTGCCAAAAACTTTAACCCGCGATCCGTAATCAACGAACATCCTTGCAAACCCAAAACCATAATCGAATTTGAAGACCCAATTGCATCTAGGGTTGGGTCCGAAACCAAGCTGCAAAACCCTAAATCCAAATACGTCAAATTACGCGATAAATCCACAAGCGAAACGATCCCAAAATTCCCAACATTCTTCCTCCTTCTGATCGAAACCTTACGCAATTTCGGACACCCATGTGCCAGAGCGCACAGACCGTCGTTCCCAAAATCTTCAAACAACAATGCTTCGTCAAATTCGTCAGAAATCTTACGTGGGGTTTTCGAATTGAGGTCGATGACTTCGACTTTGGGACAGAATCGAGCTATGAGTTCGAGGTCGGAGTCGGCGATGGACTTTGATGCTTCGAATTGGAGTAAATTTGGGAATCTGGGTAGGACTCGGAGGAGATGTTCGGGTTCGAGAAGACGAATTGAGGATCGGTTCAGGCCCTCCACTCTCAGCCATTGTTTGCAGACCTCGGAGAGCAATTGTCTTTCTTTTGGGTCGGTGACCCAATTGAGGATTAGGGTTAGTTCGTCATCGCCTAGCTGAGACATGTCTCTGTTAAGCCTGCGTGCGCGGGGGTGCCTTTGAGGTGATAAAATCATAAGTTGCATCCGTTTTTTAGAATGATGACAGGGACATGTAGGAGAGACTTTCGACAGCATGTGATATCTATACATTTTATTTTATTTTTCACATATTTTTTTAATTTTTTAGTCGTTAGATCAGATGAATTGAAGAAGATCAACGGACAAAAATTATCAAGGGGTATGTAAGAAGTAAAATAGAATGTGTGGATAGCACATCCCATTTTTTAGCGTGTCTGAAACACAAGATGTACATCACGTATCATTATACAAGTACTGTATTCTAAATTAAACTTCTCGCCACTTATATAATATCATGTAGTGTACCACCTTGATTACAGGCTCGATGAAAAATTTCTCGACATGTAGAGGCTGTATTTTAATGAGAATTTTAAGGCATTTTAATTCTTTTAATAAATTTAGAGGTACTCTATTAAGATTTTAAATGATTATCTGAAATTTGGAATGTCTTTAATCAGGATTTTAAGAGCATCTCTAATAAAGATGTCAAATGTTAATTTGATGGCTGATGCAGGTAATGTCAAATTTTTTTCTTTTTCCAACCGATATATTTTTTTGTTATAAATGATATTTATAGGACCCATTTTAAAAAGAAATCAATTAAAATAAATTTTCAAGATTTATAATTAATATATTAATAGGACCCACACAATAAAATAATTAAAATTATTTAACATCATCTTTTCTTATATGTTAAATTTGACATATAAAAACTCTTATGTCAATCCACATAGGATTGACATATCGGTTGGACCTTGCTCCTATCTTTAAATTTGATTACATGACATTTCACTTAGGATTTAACATCTCATTTGAAGATGATTTAAGATAATTTATTAAAATCCTTATAAATTCGACTGTATTTAATGAGAACCTTAAAAAAATTTATAACATACCAAGTATATTATTAGGAATTACTTTTTAAAAATTTTAAATAGTTGAAGAATTCGAGATAATTTAAGAAATTTCATAAATAATGGCATGCCATTCTCTCCGCAGCCATGCATACCTAAGCGTAAACTTACAAAACTCAAACATGACCCGACGATCACATGCTACGAACATGCACACTAAAACATCAATAATTGAGTCGGATAATAACATGGTGGACTCGTTCCCAAAAAAAAAAAAAATAAAAATAAAAATTAGCAAGTCCATAATTTAGTTTCATTTGTTGTGGAGTCGTTTTCTCAATCAGTAGTATTCTTTTATTAGATGAAATAAAAATTCAAATCTGTTTCTCTTTCGCTTGTGTAAACACAATTTTTTATAAATTATATCAATAGTGGTTGGACTCGTTAGCCAATAAAATTAAGTATTTGTAAATTCCTTACCTCAATCTATTTAGACGGGGGAGTCTTAACTCTTAAGACGATGGTTTTCGAACTCGAAACTGGAACTGTTCACGTAAGAAGGAATCAAACATAAGAAGCTTCAGGTGATCATGACTAATTAAGAAAATAATTTTTTAATTAATTAGTTGTAATCACTGATTAAATGGTATGTAAGCATTCTCAAAACCATGCTGTCGTGTACTAATCTTGTTCTATAAAATTATATTATATTATATAAATTATTCGACCGTCATTGTAAATCTTTTCTTTGACTCTACAAACAAATGATGAAGGATTATTATTATTTAATAAATAATAATAATACATGCAATCGCATTCCAGCATAGGATAAATAATAATTTGCGAAAAATGAGTAATTGAAATAGTTAAATATATTGAAAAATCAACTGCCAACACCGGTATGTATTAGTATTTGTCTATTTTCTGTATTATGCTCTTAAACCTTTTGATAACTCACTCTCTCACCCTTAATCAATCCAACTTTCTTAATATTTACGATAAATTATATGATTCTTGTCTTTGTAGTTCGGACAAAGTTTTGGTACACGTAGTGTAAATTGTCGCAATTTAACTTCTGAAGTTTATTAACTGTTGCAATTGAAAGCTAACCGCGTCACTTTTAATGAAATTAACAAGTGACAAGTTTTATCACGTCCAAGACGCTAATTTTGTTTCATAAAATAATATAATTAAGTTTATTATTCTTGAATTTGTATCAACTTATAAGCTACGTTGTAGAGACCACACTATAGTATAGTGTGACTTGATATTTGTATTAGTGCAATATTTCGGTCAATTGTATAGGAATACACGATAATTAAAGGCTTATTTGAAAATGATTTTTGAATGATTGACTGAAGTTTTGGTAAAAGCGTTTTTGATTAAAGGCTTGCACCAAACATTTGCTTCTTAATTCAAGTAATTTCTTAAGATTCATTTACATTTTATTTTCAAAAATACTTTCATAAAAACGATTGAAGTCATTCTAATAACAATTTTAAACACATTATTTTTAGCCGACGAGCTTCGTAGAGCGACGGAACCCAGCAAAATCCTTGTATAATAAAATATATACAAGTGAAAAAAAAACAAAAGGGAAGTTGTGGACCCGGTGACCACCGATCTTTTGCCTGCGTGTTCCAGCTTTCATTTGTACCTTTTTTCCAGTTCCAGAAGCATGAGAGGTTGTTGCTTTCCCACGCTCCTTCCTCCTCTCTTATCTTTTGTGAATTATATATTCAATATTTAATTAATCACAATTCTTCATTGTGAATGTTTTTTAGTTTTCGATGAAAAATAATAATAATAATTAAGGGAACAAAAACATGAGAAAACATCCCATGAACTTTTCTTTTGGGCCGGTCAACACCTCCTTCTCTTTTTGTCTGTATTTGACTCGTTTCACAACAAGCATGGCCGCAGTTAAATAGTAAAGGGAGAAGAAGATAGAATTTATATAGTGCTTTGTTTTAAAAATATCTGTTTAGCGCTGTTTAAGTCTCGAGTTTCAGGCTGATAAATGTACCATAAATTTGATAAATAAAATTTCACTCAAAAAACAATATAGGTAATTTTCATGTGTAGCCATTTCTTTTCTCATATTTTGAGAATTTGTTGAGACATCAATTCAATACATGACTTTTTACCACGATGGCAACAGTTGAAAAAATATTTCATAAAAATAAACACAATATAATAAATAAATAAAAATTTGTCAAACAGTATATTTATTTTTTTATTTATTTTTTGGTCAAAAAACTTATTTTTGAATCACCCTAAAAGTCACACAAAAAAAATTTAAATAAATAAATAAACTGTCTGTTGGGGGACGTGTGTGAGAAAGAGAGAGGAGAGAGAGTAACATGTACAAGTAAAAAGTCCAAAACTTTGGACTTGTTCATCTCTCCCTCTCTTCCCCTGTATCTTCCTCAATGGCTCATCTCTTCAGAGACCTCTCTTCGCTGGGCCAATCCAAGAGAGGTATCACCGCCCCCACAACCACCACAGCCACCGCCTCACCCGCCAAACCACTCAGCATACCCACCAGATCCATTTCCGCAATGGGCACCGATCTCCCATCCCCGCTCGGCCAGCTCTCGGCCCAACTCAGCGACTCGGACCTCCGACTCACCGCCTACGAGATCTTCGTCGCCGCCTGCCGTACATCCACCGGAAAGGCCTTGACTTTCACACCCTCCTCCGCTGACTCGCCGACCCAACACGCCAACTCCCCCAACGGCTCCCCCGCAATGCAGAGATCGCTCACTTCCACAGCTGCCAGCAAGATGAAGAAGGCATTGGGTCTCAAATCGCCGGGCTCCGGCTCCAAGAAGAGTCCCGGATCAGCCGGGTCCGGGGTCGGGTCGGGTCCCGGAAAGCCCCGGCGGGCAATGACGGTGGGTGAGCTGATGAGGATCCAAATGGGTATTTCTGAGGCCACTGACTCCAGAGTCCGGAGAGCTTTGCTCAGGATTTCTGCTTCTCAGGTCAGCTCAATTTCTTCACCTTTTTTTTCTTTCTCATTTGTGACTTTTGTTGATCTGACTTTGAAAGGTATAATTTTGCTTTGAATTATTTTTAGTGGGTAATTTTTGGTTTTTGATAAGTCTGATGATGTGATGAGATTGTTTAGCTCAAATTTGAGAGTGGTTTGGTCAATTTGGATTGCAAAAATTGTTTCTTTACTAAATGTAGTTTGATCTGATGAAACTGACAGTGTTAAATGAATCAAAATCTCGTTTCGAGCTCAGTATGCTACACCGAATGTTTAGTTTTATAGTCAGCATTTTTGAGCTTTTGTTTAAGGGTCGTTTGTATTGGAGTTGTAATTGATCGAGTGTTCTGTTTGTTGTACTCATTGCAGGTCGGAAGGCGAATTGAGTCAGTGGTAGTGCCACTGGAGCTGTTACAGCAGCTCAAGTCCTCTGATTTCACTGACCAGCAAGAATACGATGCATGGCAGAAAAGAACCCTCAAAATTCTTGAGGCCGGTCTCCTATTGCATCCCCACGTGCCACTTGACAAGTCGAATAATGCTGCACAGAGATTGCGTCAAATTATTAATGGGGCATTGGACAGGCCCTTTGAAACTGGCAGAAATAACGAGACTCTGCAGGTTCTTCGTAATGCTGTTACAGCTCTTGCTTCTAGGTCATCTGATGGTCTCTATGATACATCACATTGGGCAGATGGGTTGCCATTGAATCTCCGGCTTTATGAGAGGCTTCTAGAAGCCTGCTTTGATCTTCACGACGAAACATCTATAATAGAGGAAGTTGACGAGCTAATGGAGCATATTAAGAAGACCTGGTCAATCCTTGGAATGAACCAGATGCTCCATAACCTTTGCTTTACTTGGGTTTTATTTCATCGTTTTGTTGCAACTGGTCAAGTAGAACTGGACCTCTTGTATGCTGCTGATAGTCAGCTAGCTGAGGTTGCTAAAGACGCAAAGGCAACAAAGGATTCCGAGTACTGCAAGATCTTGAGTTCGACATTGACTTCAATATTGGGATGGGCAGAGAAGAGACTCCTTGCGTATCATGACACTTTTGATAGCAGTAACATTGATGCTATGCAGGCCATTGTTTCTCTGGGGGTAGTAGCAGCTAAGATTTTAGTTGAAGATATATCAAATGAGTACCGCAGGAGGAGGAAAAATGAAGTTGATGTTGCCCGTAGCAGGATTGACACCTACATCAGATCATCCTTGCGCACTGCTTTTGCTCAGGCAAGTCCTCAGTATCTGCTGCTGATTCCCCCCTTTCCTTCCTTCAATAAGAGGGAAAATGCAAAGAATATCATAGCTGTTTTGGTTTTATTGGATCCTTTGATGTTGTATGAAGCCAGTAACATCTATGCAGCATGGATACTAAAGTCAGATTTGGTATCCAACAACTTGCATGGTGTTGATGCTTTGTCAATGTATCCCAAAATAAAAGCCTAATTATACGGAGAATGCATTACTTGCTTAAGGCATATCATGCATACGACATAACAGTAGACTGTTATTGTGAAAGGGCCTGAAAGGAACAAAAACAATAGTTAGAAAAAATACATGATAATTGATGTCCGTATATTTTTCTTCCTGATATGAAATTATTTGTTTACTTATTTTGCAGAGAATGGAAAAGGCTGATTCAAGCAGGAGAGCATCAAGACACCAGCCAAATCCCCTTCCTGTTCTGGCCATCCTTGCAAAGGATGTTGGTGAGCTGGCAGTTAAGGAGAAAGAGGTGTTCAGTCCAATATTGAAGAGATGGCATCCTTTTGCTGCCGGGGTGGCTGTGGCAACCCTTCACGCTTGCTATGCGAATGAGATTAAACAATTCATATCAGGTATAGCGGAGTTGAACCCAGATGCTGTACAGGTTTTGAGAGCTGCTGATAAGCTGGAGAAAGATCTTGTGCTGATAGCAGTTTTAGACTCCGTAGATAGTGATGATGGTGGCAAGGCAATAATTCGTGAGATGCCTCCTTACGAGGCTGAAACTGCAATTGCGAATCTGGTGAAAGTGTGGATTAAGACAAGAGTGGACAGATTGAAAGAATGGATTGATAGGAATCTACAACAAGAGGTGTGCACTAACTATATTCATTTGTTAGTCTGAATCAAATGTTTATACAATTTTTTGGTCTTATATCTGGATCACTCCTATGCATTTTCTTTTATTGTTAGGCTTTTTCATTCGTTATTTTTGCTCATTACTTGTGACTGGTGAATCTTTCCGAAAGATAACCTTTTACATTGCAATGTTTCAGGTATGGAACCCACAAGTAAACGAAGATGGATATGCCCCATCTGCTGTTGAAGTTTTGCGAATCCTTGATGAAACTCTGGAAGCATTCTTTCAGCTGCCAATACCAATGCATCCTGCATTGCTTCCTGACTTGATGACTGGCCTTGATAGATGTCTTCAGTATTATGTAACCAAGGCAAAATCTGGATGTGGTAAATAATTTCGTAACTCAAAAGTTATTTGTATGTGGACTAAGGTATGATCTTTTTGTGATAACCAATACTGTTCATTCTGTTGTGCAGGATCTCGCAATACGTTTGTTCCCACTATGCCGGCATTGACCAGATGTACCATGGGATCAAAGTTCCAAGGCTTTGGCAAAAAGAAAGAAAAATCACCAGTTCCTCAAAAGAGGAACTCTCAGGTTGCAACACTCAATGGGGATAACTCGTTTGGGATACCTCAGATGTGTGCTCGTATAAATACATTGCAAAGAATCCGGAGTGAGTTGGAGGTTTTGGAGAAACGGATTATTACTCATCTCAGAAATTCAGAATCTGCTAATGTAGAAGACTTTTCGAATGGACTGGGGAAAAAGTTTGAACTCACGCCAGCAGCTTGTGTGGAAGCAATCCAACAGCTTTGTGAGGCAGTGGCTTATAAAATGATCTTCCATGACCTAAGTCATGTTCTGTGGGATGGTTTGTATGTTGGGGAACCATCCTCTTGTAGAATAGACGCTTTTCTTGACGGGCTGGAGAAGAACTTACTCATAATATCCAATACTGTGCATGAAAGAGTTCGTACACGGATTATAACTGACGTAATGAGAGCGTCATTTGATGGATTCTTGCTGGTTTTGCTTGCTGGAGGCCCCTCTCGTGCATTCTCCCAGCAGGATTCCCAAATAATAGAGGACGATTTCAAAGCCCTCAAGGATCTATTCTGGGCCAATGGGGATGGCTTGCCTTCTGAATTGATAGACAAGTTTTCAACAACAGTGAGAAGTGTGCTTCCCCTTTTCAGAACAGACACTGATAGCCTCGTCGAACGGTTTAGACGAGTGACCTTGGAGTCATATGGCTCGTCCGCCAGGTCCAGACTCCCGTTGCCCCCAACATCTGGGCAGTGGAACCCAACTGAACCAAACACGCTCCTTCGGGTGTTGTGCTACAGGAATGATGAATCAGCTACCAAGTTTTTGAAGAAGACCTACAATCTGCCCAAGAAACTGTAAAGTTAAAGCGAGGATGGTAACCGTGGGATGGCCTTTTGGCGGGCGTTGTCTTGCAGAAACTTCTAGGAAGCGCAGACAATGATTGTAAGTGTATTAAGTGATGATCACCGTGCTGAGATGCTCGCATTTGCCCTTGGCAGTGTTCTTGTATAGTAAGTTCATGAGAGTTTGGTATAAATCCAGCAGTTTGCAAAGACACGAAGATCGGAGACCAGAAGAGTCGAGAAGGACGCAGACTTCTAGAGGTTGATTATTCTTTTTTTTTTTTTTTTTTTTTTTTTTTCCATTCATTTTCATCGTTTAGAGGCTTATATAATGCGATTGATGTTATTCTTTATAAATGCTCTACTGCACAGCATTTTTCTTACCCCCGAATGTTCGATGTTATATATTTGTCAGTTGTTTGTTGGTTTGCTTGTTGGTACAGAGAACAGCGTCGTTTTGTTGGTCGTATAATTTATCAGAATGTAATATAAGTGAGGTTGTTGACAATTTATGGATCCCTGAAAGTTGATTAGAAACTTGATTCCATTTCAGCTGGATCAGAAGACGGGAGTGTGAAAATCACTGCCCCGAGATAATTCTTCTGCAATCCCAACTTTTACTCTCAAATTATATCGCAAATTTACAAAGACGCCTGTTTCGGGGAATGTCTGCAAGAAACTACCAGGCCTCGAGTTTTGCTGAAACTTTGTCTTAGCGAAGATGTGAGGGTAAATATCAAAAGTACACAACATCTATTACAGCAGTTTAACATGTTGACTTCTACATCTCAGAGCCGCCGGAGAAACAGACATTTTCTTTACTCCTCTAAGGTGGCACGGCCGAGATTTGCAGCAAGAGCTAACCGTACAGAAATGAGGGCTTGCGGTGGCAAGTCTGCCTCGATAAAGTCTGGACGGAGCTTAGCCATGGACAACTCTTGCAGTTTATTCAACAAGAGGGTTGTCTGAGACACATCTAGCAGAGGCCGGTCCGGCCAGTTAAGCAGCTTGAACTGCACAAAAGTAATTGAAAATGCAGTGAGAAATCATGTTTTTACGAAAGTGTATCAACGCGACCAAGCATTTAATTAATCTAAAAAATCATTTTCGTTACATACAAACTGATGCAAAAGTAAATAAAACGTCGCCCTCCACCCGCTAACTCATACCATATTTAGTTTATGTCCAAATCCAGATTAGCAACAATATCGTATAAGTCTTACCGAGTCATGCAGAAGAGGCAGCCAAAAGCGCTGAGGCGTAGATGGGTTTTTCATAAGCTGCAATTCATAAGCCAAAAAAAGAAAGTTACAAGACACTTCAAGCCTTGAAAACTATAGATCCTACGCAACGAATGCACCAGCCACATAAAAGTTACACACTAACCGATATCAAAGATTCTACAGCTTGCCGAGCAGCATCAGTGGTCTTTCCATCATAAACTTGCTTAAGGGACTTTTTGAAATCCCTATACCTAGAGCACACCAAAAGTTGTACGTGTGAAAAATCTAGGAGAACAATGACGAGGATAATTATGAAAATTCAGACAAATTTCATACTTGTGCAAAAATTCAAGACCCCCTGTAGCCTTGGATTCAGAACCCAACAATTCAATCAAGCCTTCCCATTGCTGTATGTAAACAATAAACCATGAGTCGCTTCTAAAATGAAACTGATTTTTGTTCTAATATCAATATTTCACGTTGTGTGCAAACAAATAATATTTCACCTTGAAACTTTCATCAGATATCGACTTTCCAACAGAATCAAACAATTGCTGAGCAATCCTGCTAAGACGAACTTCATCTCGGGCTTGTTGAAGCCAAAAAACTCCAGCACCTTTCCTACCATGCTTCCAATGGTACACCCCAGCAATCTAAAAACTGAGAACCTTTTAAACACAAAGTACCAGTCTATACACTAGATCATGCATGTGGTTACTATTTCCTATATCCGATTTCTCGTACAAAGTACATAATCTGACGATAATTTTTCATGAACAGAAAAGGCAATCCTTACAAATTTAAACATACCTTCATAATGTTTGAACTAACAGTGTCGAGTTCATAAAGACGGCATATCTCTATATTCTGCACAACAAGTTCAAAACAATGTTATTTTGTCTATCAGCCACAAGTATACACAAAGAAAAGATCCACAATCCAGGAAAAAGAACCACGTGTAATGGTTAGTAACAATAAACTTTGGCTCTAAAACTTTGCCTATCACCTTAAGTAGCGTTTCATTATGTTGAATTGGCAGCTTATATAATAGAATCTCTAACAAAGCCATTCCCTGCTTCGTGCAAGATGTCAAGTAAATTGGAGCAATCTGCAAACATGAGAACATCAAACCGTCAACATATTTAGTGCGTACACTGTGAGTTTTACCAACTCAATGTCATAAGAAACAAAGAGAAACTGTAACAGAAAATTGATAAGCACTTCAACTGATAGTGATCAAGAAATCATCAATCGCAATGTGCAAGACTAGAAATTTTATATGCCTACAAGTTTGATTCGACTGAGAGGACTGAATACAATCACAACAGTGAGCCTAATGGTACCCCTAGAATCAAACATTTTAGAAACAGTTTGAATGACCAACATGGTTTGAAATATCATGTGCTTGTAGAGCATTAGAAAAAGTTCATACACATTGCGTTGAGCAAAACATAAGAGTGGATCTCTCAAAAAAGTAACAAACATTTCATATATTAATTATTATCATGGATTCCTAATCAAATACTGTAATAGCAAAAAAAACTTTGCCTTCGGCACACAATTGTATATGCTAATTTGTCTATGAAACTTGGAAAAACACAGGATCATGAATCAAGTACTGCAATACTCATAACAAAAACAATCTAGAATTATCTCATCTGCACTCACTTGCCAAGTCAATGGATGTGACGACAGGACTTGAGCATAGACAAGTCGATGTGATTCTGCTATACTAATTCCCCCCAGGCTATCGCGTTCTTCCTGTAGAAGAAGTTCTGCTTCATCGCTCCCAGTAGTCAACAACTCAATGGCATGGGCAACCATCCTATTTCAAATAATGAAGAGTTACATCTATATGAATTTCAATAACAAAGTAGTAGCACATTCAATCTTTTTTAATCTCACAAGCCATTTAAACTTTTAAAATTGGTGGGTTGGGGGGAATTGGGGAATGATTGAACATTATACAGCCTCTCTGGACCAAATGCTGAAATACACGCAGTTACAAGAGAACATAGAAGCTCACCAAGGCCCAAATGCTCTTGAGCATTCTGCTAGGACAACCTGTACCATTTCCAAACACCCAAAGGTTTCAGTAGAAGAAAAACATGGACAAAATAAATAGATTAGTACACTATTAGTGTCTAGTCCAAACTACTTACCTCGGTATTTTCCCCTAGGATTCCAAGAAGAATTGCTATCAACCCATGGGAACTAGACATTGGTTTTAACTGCATGCACTTCTGGGCTAGGTCATGCATGCTTTCAAGACCCTGATTTTCAGAAAAGGAATTAGTTTTCAACTATAGTCCAGCTGCTAGACGTAAGAATGTATTAAAAAGAGATGATAGGTACAAACCTCACAATCTATCCAGAGTCTTAAATTACAACATATTAGGAAATTTTAATTATGATCCTGTAATTAGAACTATTAAAACAACGATATTGTAATTGGGCATTTACCACTGTGAATGGTCTGACATATAGAAAGTGAGAAACAAACAGCTCTATCCAATGGCAAGTTACGTTGCAGAGATTGTCAGTGTTTCCAAGCATAATTTGTATCATATTTTTCAACCCCTCCCGGGTTTGACGGTGATCACAATGACGCCAGAATGCACTGCAGTCGAGTTTAGTAATTTGCGCTCTCCATTTCTCCCATGCCTAGGCAACAAGGATGTTTAAAGTTACAAATTACAGTAGGGTGAAAAAAAAAAAAAGCAAGAAAATAAAAAAACACTAATTTTTTACAGGCTCAAACACACCTTGATAAAATCTGGCTTTGCTTTGAAGCATTCACCTAACTTTCCATCTTCTACTTCAGGACGCATGCGTGGCATCTTTGAAATAAGGACGGAAACTGTCTCTACAAGTCCATTCTCTGTCTATTTAGTTACACACAGGACAGGCATCAGTTGTTTCAGCGCTAAATCCATAAAGTACACAATAGAAATTTACATGGAGCATTAGAACACAAATATGGTGATCTGTGGCCAGACATGGACAAGATTCACGGAACAATTAGCACAGAACTTGAACATATGGAAAGTTAAAAGGAGGTAGCAGGAACATCATAATATATTATAAACTACCTATTCCGTGTTCAATATATTTACCTCACGGTTTCCAAGCTGATGAAGTTGATAAGATCCATGTAACCGCAACATTTTCACCTGCACAAAAACAAACAGCATCTATCAGTCTTTCATAACTTGGAAATGGAACTACTTAACAATTCAGAAGACAGAGAACTCGAGCAATAAAACAAAAGGTAATATAGAAAGAAAAGGGAGAGGGTCCTTAAGACTACAAACCACAATCTCAATCCAGCCAACTGCCAGTGCCGAAGATAATACTTCCCAATATTTAGGATTGTCCTCAATAACCTGCAGAAACAAATCTAATCAAATTCTCCAATATCTTTATGAACCAGTGTGTGACGAACTGACCATCAGAGACATAACCCACAGAGGTGGAACTTCATCAACAATATTTTTACACCAACTACATTAAAATCAAAAGAAAGCAAATTTAACGATTACTAGGCTTTATTATATCAAAAAGAAATCACATTCACAAGCTAGTGTAACAAGAGAAAGAATCCATAAAGTAACTATCAGCGGCATATGGTCCTATGGATGAAGTGAACAAGCAGGGTAACATAAATAGGTTCCAAAAACTTAGCTAGAAATTAAAAAAAGCCATAGTTGAGTTCTGTTGTGTTCCCATTATAGACCTTAGTAAGACTCCAAGAAGTGTTTCAGAGCCAGCTAAGGAACTATGAACGCTAATGAAATTCCAAAAGAAAGATGAAAAGATTTGATTGAAACTGGAACAGGACAGGTCAAACCTGTAACTCAACAAGTTCATTTTGAAAATCCACTAGCTTCAAATGGACCGTTGGCTGTGTGCTGGAAAGTAGACTATCGAGATCCTGCCATGAAACACATGCATAGCATCAAGTTGTGACTTGTGACCATCAAAAAGCAACAGCTGAAATTATGGTGTAAGCACTAATAAACAAATAAAGGGAAGAGAACAAGATCATTACTGCCAGCCAATCAACAAGCCGTTCAGGTAGCCATGGTTGAGATTGTTTGTCTGCATAAAATATCTCCATCAACTCCCACGCAGCTTTTAAAGCGGTAGGCTCCTCAACTTTCTACATTAATTTTTTTGAAATTAGACCTAACAATTATATTTGTAGTTGTAATTCGGAAAAGGAAGATCGTATGAAAAACCACATGAAATTACTCGAATTTACCCTCAAAACCATTTTCGGGTCTTCGATCACTGCAATAGGAAGCGACTTAGAGCTACCAAGAAGTGAATTTATGTCCTTGCTGTACTCCATCACATACTCCCACCTAATATATTTTTCTCAACGGAGTCACATTTCATAATTTAGGGAGAATTGAAGAATCCAAAGAAACTAAACTGGATATTCTGCAGATTTTTGTATACTTTTTTCTCAGCAACCAAACAGACTAATCAAAATTTCTATTACCAATCAATGTTGTACAGCGACGGACCCATTGACACCTTCGATAAGCTCGCAACCGAGCTCCTCCGGCTCTGTAGTAGGGCGAACGGCGGCACAGAACCGTAAGCGATCCTCCGCCACTTCGCATCGCCATTTTCGCCGTCTCCATTACTAAGCCTCACCTCCACCACTTTCCCGCCAACTTCATCCTTTTCGGAGTCTTCGCCGGAAGGCGGACGGAGAACTGACACGCGCAGAGTGTTGCCCCGGGACCACGAGATGGAGAGGCGAGCGATCGGAGGGTTGAGGCCGTGGTGAAGTGAGTACACGACGGGTTGCCGGATCTCCGGCGAGTGTGGGACCATAGCGGTGTCATTGGAGCCTAATGCGCCAGCCATGTCGCCGGAGTCATAGGCGACGCCGGGCATTTTGTGCCAGAGATGGGGCTGGGGAGTGAGTGGGATTTAGGGTTTTGGGAGAGGTTTTGTGAGGGGGAGAAAAGAGAGGGAGAGTCAATACGCGCGTAGCGGTGAAAGTTGATGACGGAATGAGCAATTTGGGAACCGGACCCAAAGCAACTTAGCCTGTCTTCAAATGATTAAAAATTTAATTCAACGATTACAAACGGATGATTTTTTAAAAATTATAATAATTGTAGCTGTTAATCAAATTTCAATAGCTCGGATCATTTGATAAGTAGGCTCAGTTCTTTTGGGTCCGCAGGGAATCCGGTTCACAATTTGGGTATGTTTGGCAACGGATAAATGCTATCATGGCGTCATTGTTCTCTTTTTCTAGCTTATAGATACGGCTCTAATCCATCCAATTGTGATTAATTATTATATGGTTATAAATGTCATAATCAAGTTCGACTCTCGCTTAATAATTATAATAATTTGGTACGAATTCGTATTTAACTAGAATCAAATCTAATTGCAATTGAGTGGAATCATTAGTTCCAGCCAATTCAATTTTCATTTAGTTTGAATTTTTTTCGACTGTTGATGCTAAGGAAACCACATTTTATAGACCGCAATATATTTATTCACAAATTACATGATCCCCAATATATTTATTGTATACTGAATCTGCTGACAAATGCATGATCCCCAATATCTTTATTCAAAATTTAAAAATAATATGGATTGTTCCCCACAATTACATATAATCTCTTTATTTTCTAATCAAACTCTCACTTTACATCACGTATCAAGCACTTGGGAAAACCAACCGGGCAAAGTTTCTGAACAAACTACAAAGAGATTTGTATTACAAATTCAAACATATTTGTATTGCCTTTGTATTTCACATATTGGAATTACACACTTGGATTTATCGAAGAAGAACCGTGACATTCCTTTATCATCTCTTGAATCTTTCTCTTCATTAACTTGTCTTTAACACCAGCAAGCATGTTCCGGTAGAACTTTTCCAGCCTGACGAGATTGGCCCGATCTGCTGACTCTAACATGTTCTCCCATTCCCTTGCAATGTCATAAGTACCCGAGTTCTGCAACGAGACTGGAATATCCTGCTCTTTAAAAGGTTTTCCGAATATTGAACCATGAAGTATGCCAGTATACTTTTCCATGACTGAAAGTTTTGACTGCAGAAGCTTCATCTCTTCCATTGCCAAAGACAACCTTTTCTCTTCTTTGCCGTCTCCTGTCAAATTTCTTTCACCAGTGTTATCTCCGTCATCAAGAGGCTTTTTCTTATCGACAGTATTTAATTCTTCTTGCTTGAAATCATCTGCAAGCGGAGGCCACAAGACAACAGCAGGAGAATAACAGTCAATTGTCTTACCATTTCCAAGAACCCCACTCCTTCCTCTCCCCCATGACCAAAGCTTAAATCCATCATTTGCAACAACAACCGTATGGGCAGCCCCACAGACAACTTGGATTGGATCCTGAAATTTTGCGCCATTCAATTCATTAATCTGTAGGGGAGAAACGGCATCCCCCGAATCATTCCCACTAAAACTAGCATCTGGGCATAGGCCAAGACCCTTCTCCATTCCCCACGACCACACATCTCCCGCAGACGAAACAACACTAGTGTGAAATAAGCCACAGTCAACAGACACCAGATATACGTACTGCGGCAATTCTTTCACAGGTTCAGGAGACAATCCACTTTGGGTGGTTCCATGCCCGAGCTGCCCATTTTCTCCGAGGCCAAAAGTCCAGCACATGCTTTCAAATGTGTCACTTGGCCTTTTTTTGTGGGTGAGCAAAGCCGTGTGAAAAGCCCCGCATGCTACCTCATAAACTGCGAAGGGGGAGTCGTGATCAAAAGGTTCTACTATTTGGGGACGACTCCTGCTCTCTTTATCCCCCAGGCCTAACTGGCCATGGCTGTTACCGCCCCAAGAGAAGCAAACAAGATCTTCACCTTTATATGTTTCTTCGGCAGAAACCAGGGCCACAACGTGCTCATTTCCACATGCCACCTTCACAACAACGTGGCCATGGAAATCCCAAACAGGAGTTGGGGTAAAACCGCTCACCAGAGAGAACCCACCTTCATTGCTGCTGCTTTCGTGTGGGAAATTTCCCCACACCCAAAGGGTACCTAGATTATCAATTGCTAGGGACATCATTCCTCCAGCTTTAACAGAACAAACCTGATGCAAAAAAAGCATGTAAGGTTCCTATCTTCATAAGGTATTTATTTCGGCGAATACAATTTTCTTCAATACCTTAAGTGGCACTTCACTCTCTGTTGCGGATCCCACATCAAGAAACTGCTCCAGCAAGCAGGGCACCAAAGAATTTTCTCCGTTTACACCAAGTTGGCCATCCATTTAACAGTCAAGAACTTAAACAATATAAACGAGGAGCAAACACAAAGGCAAATACTAGGGATTCAACTAAGTTATTTCGTTGCATTGAATTAATAATTAATATGTAACCCTATAATGAAGGATACAGATGTTGTAACCCCAGCACCAAACCGATCCATCATCTGCCACCACAAAACTAAAGTTAGAACACAGCAGAATCATGTCCAGCGTTCGATTATTTCATTGTTGTATTACTTCAATATTCGAACTAGATTCCGGCTAAACCTATTCCCAGACGCATGTTCTTGCCCCTGATATCTAACTTATTGACTAAACACTAACCTGTATAGTTGGTTTATTTATATTATTATCATGAAGTTTGCCAAGCAACAAAACCCCATCACTGTAACAAACAACAACAAAAGCAAAAGCATTTTAAATTCCAATAGCACCCAGTAAAAACTTCAAATTTGCCTTCTATGTATGCAAATGGAGGAAAGTAATGAGCTTTCAATAAGAAAATATTTAAACTACTCAAATCTACGGGAAGCGGGATTCAAACTTTGGTGCAAGAGGATGGGCACACCGCCCTATCCAACTGGCCTAACCCACTACTGAGGAAAGATGTTAACTTTAACCATCAGACTTAATCACACATTAAACAAACTCTCAGAAAACACCATCAAAATCTGAAAACTGACCAGCAAGAGCAAGACTGTGGTAGGCACCGGCGGCAACTCCCACTAATTTGAGCCCCGTCCCTTTTGCGCTGCGAGGATCATTGAACTTGATTCGGACAGGGAAGAGCTCGTCGGATTCCGAACCGGTCCCGAGCCGCCCAAACATGCCTCTTCCCCACGAATACACAAACCCATCGGCGGTGAGAGCCAGAGTGTGTGCTTCGCCGGCGGCCACCGCCACCACCTTGCGAGACAAGTTGCGGCCGTGCGGAGGACTGGCGCTTTCCTCTTCCATTTTTGGAGCTGGAGAGACCCAGAAGATAAGGTGTTTGAGAAAATGCCGATGAAAAAAAACAGAGGTCTTTTTCTTCAGCTGGAATTGCTCTGTGCAATGACCCTGCTGACCAGATGTAATGACAAAAAGCCAATGAGAGTTACCCCTTATATCCTAAAATTTTGAGAGATATGTACTACCTATGTGACAGTTGAGCACATTGTAACCGTAATATTTTCTTATTTGGAAACTGATTTTCCCACGATTTTTACGCACTTGTGTTTATTTATTTATCTCATTTCTTTTTTATTTATCCAATCTAGATATTATTAATTGATAAAATTAAATGTAAAAATTGACTATCTTTTGTTGATGATCGACAAATCTTCCCTTTGCACATTCGGTATAATATGAGGCGGTATTGTATTTTGACTGCACAATGATCGTAGCGAACTTCTCTTTTGTTATTGTCATTATTATTTATTATTATGACTAAGGGCTTAAAAGAAGGTGACGAAAACACCTGAAATTTCCATGCAATTACGAGCAACCAATTGAAAAACAAAGTAAATCAAATGTGAAACAAAAATAAAACTTGGGTCTTGTTCAAAGTGACTTTAGTCGACATTGATAATGCTGATCTATTTCTTGATTTGTAGTGTGAAGTTGTGATTGGCAGATGCTTAACTGGAATTAAGAAGCTTATCCACTTAATTCTGTTTCTTGTCAAACAATTGATCATTATATTTGACTAAACCTGCCACAGCTGAATGTATAGTTAATTTCTTGCTTAATCAACAATTCAAGACATGTCAATTCATTCCACAATACAATGAGAGATTATGCCATGCCATCGAATATACATTTCTTTTTCTATAAGGCGTAATGAGTCTGTATACTAAGTGACACGACATATTTTCTTTCACATTAGAATGTGCATGAATTGGTCAGCATCCATCTCTTTCATTAAGCAATACCATAGTTTCATCAATTTTGTGCAAAAAGCACTTATTTTGTCATTTCCTTTCAAAAGACTTGTAATTTTCGTTATCTTAACACTTATCTTTTTGTGATAAAATCCGATACTTATCATGCCAGATATGTAGACAATAATATACAAATTGAAGACAATATTTGTTTGATTAATTAATAGTAAACCCTTGGGCTATCTCTTTGAGATTTTTGTTAATTTTCAAGTTTCCACTGAGCAATTTGTCATTTCCTTTTCAAATCTACATAATCCCTCAATCTATTTACAATTATAAATGATCGCTTCTAACAATTTAGTTTAAATTACATTAGAGAGACTATTTGGATCGATCAACGATTACCATATAGACCCTCATCAACATTATCAATGTCATCTTGATGATGATTAGTAGCATAATAAGCAGCCAAATTCAAGTACTTATCCTGTTGCATAATCCTATTAATATCCTTCCACCTTGCCCTACAAATCACACAATTCGCCGACCTTCTCCCGCTGCTCCGCTTCCACTTCATCAAACACTCTTCGTGAATAGGGTTTCTGCACGTCCCGCAAGCCACCACTCTCTCATCCCTTCCCACCATCTCCTCCAAACAAATAGGGCAGCTCCTCCCCTCTTCAATCTCCAGGTCATGGCGTGGCCTTGTTGTTGTCGACGAAGATCCCTGAAAAAGCAGCTGATGAAACCTCTCTCGAAGGCTGAAAGCCGCCAGTGATTCCGGCAGCGTAGGCAGCCCTAAGAGGCGGCTGACCTGGCACTGCCGCAGCGTCTTCCTCCTCAGACACGCGTCATCGAGGGGGAGGCCCAACACTCGAAGGAACACGAAGAGGATGTGCTTGCATGGGGTTGTACGGTCGGGGCACGTGCATGAAGGGGTGGCGGATAAGGAGACAGTGTACACATTCCCCGTGGCACCTAACACAAAGAAGTTGGATTCGCGGTGGTGAAGGAGTCGGAGGTTGTGGTGTAGGGCTCGGAGAATGCGGTCGGCGAAGGGTTGCGTGGGTATGATACGTGTTCGTGGCCGCTGGGCCGGGCGGTGGTTTTCTGGGGAGAAGTTGGAGGCGACGGACTCCATTAGGGCAGTTACGGCATGCAGTTAGGGTGGCAGTCGGAAATGTGATTGTATTGTTGGGAGAACAAAAAATGTGAGAAATAGGAAAGAACTGTTTGTTATGTGGGAATGGTGGGATTCTTTGTGTGAGATGGAGGAGTACGTGAGGGATAGCGGGAGGGTAGGGAATTGGATTGTGATGGTAGACTCTCGAGCCACGTTATAGGGCAACCATTTGTTTTCTGCACTTGCAAATTGGTCTCCAAGACTATTTATTTTCTGTAATGCATTAGCTAGGACCAAAAAAAGTGAGCCTATATAACTCTAAATTCTTACCAACCCTTTGTATATCCTTTCTCTATGGACGATTCTTGCGTTCGCCGCATGGGAACGCACATATTTCACCACTTCTGTCCATTTTTTTTTTGTTTGAACAAGCCTCGGGTGTCCCCTAGGGTACACACAACATATTATAATAATAATAGGTTATTAACATTATATGTTACAAACGCATATGAGTTAGGTTAGTCAGTTAAAACTGTGTGACAATGTATGTATGGTGACCTAGGCTCACAGGTTGGTTATTGGGCCTACACCCATAAGGTTTTGTGAGTTTGAACAATCAAGGCCCTAAAGAAACAAAAAATATTTGTATTTTTTTTTTTTTTGTCAAACAATAGATTTTGTTATATTAGATATTAGATTAGTCATCGACAAAGTTCAAACTTACGCTATCGTACAATGGCTCAACACCTTTCAACCACTAAGACTTTAATTACATCTAATACTCTTGAAACTCAAATTCGTTCTCATTAACCTTTTAAGTTCGAATGAGGATCCTCTCCGAATCGTATTTGTGAGGATTCTAGGGATTTTCAAATCGTGTTCATTTATCGTACATTGTGCGGCTAGTTTTCATCAAATACTTTTCATATTTAATTTTAAATAAAAGTATTTAAAATGATTTCTGATCACATGATATACGATAAATAGACACGATTTGAGGATCCGTGAGATCCTTACAAAGAGGATTCGGAGAGGATCCTCATTCTTTAAATTCAATTTATTTCTCTAGAGTCTCTACCGTCTACTCTTACTATTCTATTAAAAAAAATGTTATTTATTGATTTGCCTCCTGAACTTGTATGGAGCTACCAATTTCTCCCTGAACTTTAATTTTAGTTGATTACCCCTTGAACTTTTATAATTAGTCAATTTCCTTATTGAACTTTAATTTTAGTCGATTATCCCTCTAAACTTTTATAAATAGACAATTTCCCCCATGGCATTAAATTATAAAAAATGTCACCCAATTTTCCATCCATCTTGATCACGGAAACAACTATATGAGGGCAAAAAGAATGAAAAAAATGGATGGATGAAATATTGAAAGAAAGTTTTTAAAATCTAACGCCAAGGAGGAATTGGCTATTCAGGGGGTAATTGGTTAAAATTAAAGCTCAAGAAGAAAATTGGCTAATTAAAAAAGTTCAAGGATGTAATCGGCTAATTTGGTATCTCCATACAAGTTCAAGGGACAAATCAACAAATACCTCTAAAAAACTGCTTTGTTGGCACGAAAGGGACCCACTTTTGCTGAATTGGTCAAGCTCAAAAGAAAACGGTAAAAGGAGTTTACCCTATGAGATCCCTCGCCTTCCCTTTACCTTACCCTCATCCTCCGGCGTACAAGCCCACCAAAAATCTCTCTGCTTTTCTCAGAGCACTGAGCAGTTTACTCTTCGTCTTCGTTGCTCTCAACTCAACAAAACCCATGTTTCGAAACGCTTCTCAGCATCCAAACAAGGTACTACTTGTTACTTCTCCTTCTCTCGTTTTTGGTTCCAAATTTTCTGAATTTTCCGGGAAAATGGAAAACACACGGATTTCCCAGCTGCCAAATAGAAAATATTGCATCTTTTTTCATATGGGTCAATCAGAAAGTTTGAAAGAGACCATATTGTTGTATTATAAATTTATAAGCTTGGTTGAGTGAGAATTTGTTCTAGTTATTATGACCCAAGTAACAAAATTAGGAGAATTTCAATTATATAGTTCATCTTCTTATCCTAATTTGCTAACTTCCGGAATTGGTATCGATTTTACTGTCATGGGTGTTACTGAGTGTAGCCACAGAAGCAAGAAAGAGAATGGTTGGCAGTGAGCTTTAAGCCAGAGAACTTCATTCCAGGAGTTGTCATTGGCTTCATTCTTGGGTTGCTGCTGGATTTATCACAGCCCGGTAAGGGTCGATCGAAGAAGAACAATGCTTCGGTAGGCCAGCTCCAACAGCGGAGTTTGGTCACAAGCAATGTCAGTGGTGGTGAAGAACTTAAAATGGTTTGTCTTTGGAGCCTCATGTTCTTAATCCTATTGAGTTGTTATGCTATTGGCTTCTTCGCTTTTGAATAATCATTGCGTGGAATAGTGTTATTGTTGGTTTATTGCATAATTGCATTCTTAATATTTGTTAACATGTCCGACTATGCATAGGCCTAATTATAGAGGGTAAAGTTCATTCGTATGATCGTATCTGGTTTTTTTTATCATTGAGAAAACTTGATGAATGAATTTGTTTAATTATATTGGAATCTCGTTGGCCAGGGCGATATAGACAACAGACAAATAAGTATGCTCTTTAAATCTCATCGTGTCATTGTGTGTCGATGAGTAAGGTTATTTAGTGGCATCGATAATGAGATGCAACAATAACAAGGTGGAACTCATGAATTTGGGAGCAACTTTCCCTAATGATATTTTATAAAAAAAATTTAAGACTAATACCTCTATTGAGACTGTTTGAATTTTACGTGGCGTGGCTCCAGTGGTAGAGAGCATTTGGCCCTTCAACTAAGGCCAGAGTCTGAACCTCTGCCTCCTCCTTTGGCCTCTTTTGTACACACAAAGAAAAATGTCTGATTTTTTTTGTTTTTAAAATATGAAAAGTTAAAAATAATAAAGAAAGCTACCATCCCATGTTTTGGGGAACCGTTGAATGTCGCATTTGTTTTTTTCAGGTTTTCTTTCTACCAATGTCAATGAATAGCCATACCGGTATCTCATAGAGGTTGTTAACTTCGTAGTACTATTATCAGATTAGTAATGAATAATGATCTGATTTTAGTTCCTTTGCTTAATAGGTTTCTTATTTTGGTTGTTGATGTATTCTCTGATTTCAAGTGCTGAACTGCTCATGACAGGTACTGGTAGTTAGACGAGACCTAAAGATGACAACGGGTAAAATTGCATCTCAGTGTGCTCGTAAGTACCTTAGATTCTCTACTCTACATATGTTTAATTCATTGCATCTAATATTGATTTCTGTGAGAGAGATTCCCTCTCCCAACCTCAACACCTTATTCTTCGAAACCTTTTGCTGAACCATTTAATGAATATTTCTTTCACAAACTTGCAGATGCTGCCACTGGCGCGTATGCAGAACTGATGCAAAGGTGATTATGAGTGGTTTCTGCTGATTCAGTGGATCCTCTCACGAGTCATATACTTATTTACAAGTTTCATTATATCAACGCTATAACAGTATATATTCACTGCAGCCACAGATCCCTTTTGAGACAGTGGGAGCAACACGGGCAACCCAAAATAGTGGTTGCATGCAAGAATCAACAAGAAATGTAAGTCCGTGATGTGGTTCTGAACTTCTGATTCCTAAATAACATAAATAAATACGATTCTATTGGGATGAATTGTGGGGCTAAGATTTTACTCTTTATTGTTATAATTTTGAATTTTCTAAATCAGGAATAAGCTGAAGGAAGCAGCTGAGAACATTGGCATTCCAACTTTTGTCGTTGCTGATGCAGGGCGAACACAGGTAAGATATTGTAATCATGCAAGTACAAAATTACTCTGAAGTCTGCAACTAGTACGAGAACTGCTTATTTGTGAGGAGTGTTGGATTTTCGACATATGTGGTTAGCTGCCAATGAATATGAATTTACTTGCGGAAGTTCAAGTACTATTAAGTTGCTAGGTCGTTTCAGATTTAATCTTGAACAGAAAAGATGCGATTACAGCTTTTCTTTTGGCACAGGAGTAAGAGTGTAGTTGAGATCTTGACTTTCACTTTATTTTTCCCAGGTTGTGAGTGGATCAAAGACAGTTCTTGCCATTGGACCTGGTATGCATCTCACACTTGGAAATATGTATAACCGAAGAACAGCGAGAGGTGTCACTGTCTTCTCATTACTCAGTTTCTGTGCAGGACCAAAAGAATCAGTAGATTCAATAACAGGGAAACAGGCTCTTCTATGATAGTGCCGTAGAAAGCAAAGGCTTCCTCCATCTTCATGTCTCTCTCGTATTCGTGGGTAGCTTTTTCTTCTTCTTTATTGCTTCTCTAATTGAGGCCCTTAAATGTAAATCAAGGTGACGGTGGTTGACATCACGTTGCAAGCAGTGGCCAGACGTGATTCAATTCTCCCTAGTGTTTATCCAAAGGAAGGTCGTTAGTTTTCTAGTCGGATTCCATCCCCGACGGAGGTAAGATAGGAAGGAAAGGTGGACGTGTAGCTTGTATTCTGATTGGCATGTATTGCTAGACAAATTGTAAAATTTTTAGGTCTATTAATATCATTCATTCTCTTGACTGCCGAAATGTAGCATGAATTGTGTACACGGAAACTCCTCGATTTGGGTAATGAATCTACTGTTCGTAATTGCTTGTGAAGAATTCAGCTTGAAGTTTTCAATGGTGTACAACAATCTAATATTTGCAGCTTCCAATTTCACCATTCAAAAGCGTCATGTGATGAATGTAATTACAACGATCTTTTTGTTTGGGGAAAGAAGGTGAGCCCGGTACACTTTATTGTTAAAAGGAAACATTAATCTAATATTTTCCCTTCCATAACACCCCAAGAAAACTAATTAAAAATGTTTGAAAATTTTGAGTTTTAACGATAAAGATAAAATAAAGGGTAAAATGAATAGTACCATGATTGACTTTTTAGGGTAAAAATGTGGTTTTTCGGTAAAGTGAATAGTACTTGAAGTTTTTTGTTGAAGTTTGTTTGATACAAGCGATACGAGAAGAGAAAACTAACGCAAGAATATACATTTCCGGGGACCAGAGGTGAATGTTTTTAATCTATTAAGCTACTGTTTTTTTAATACCAACAATACAAACCTCTTGTTAATTATTATGTGACCGATTAGCTTTAACTACGACAAATTTTTTTTACTTCCCGTACTTTTGACAAAACATAATTCTAAACTTAACCTACGGAAACAAAAATAAAATCTTGGATGCAGAAAAATTTAGTACATTGTCTTATCTAACTCACGTAACTCATAATTTTATTATTTTTTTAGTTAATCACTTATGACCTTTGGGAAAAGAAAATATAATTTCTCACCCAACACTGGCTAAAGTGAAATAGTAATATTCTCCTTGACCTTTTGGTAATTTTCCCAAAAATGCAAAACCCCACTAGACTCCCTGCCTCTCCAAGTTCCAAGTTCCAACTGCTGTGATTGTTAACCCCAAAACCCTAACTCCGTTATTTCTCCGCCCAGTGCTCCAATGGCCTCTCGCTGCAGATCTTTCTCGAAGCCGGCTTTCTCTCTTCTCAAATCTGCCGTCAACAAACCGGCGTTCAAGGCCACTCCCATGTCTTCTCTCCCCTCCACCCGCCCTTCAATCAATCTCTCAAGGTACGCAAAGCCCTTCAAACCTGTAAAATTCTCAGTCTTTTGGGAAATTTTCAATTGGTTATTGTCGGTTTTTTGGATTTCAGATCGTTTTCTCAATTGGGTTTTTCCTCAAATCAGCAAAGCTCTTGACTCTTTTTTTCGATATTTTTGAATTTCAGGCCGATTCCGCAGTTGGGTTGTCTACAATCTCTGCTTCCATTTCACACGGCGGTGTCTTCAGCTCGGCTCACGTCGTGCCTTGGCATTGACTCTAGGAGCTCGAGGTCGTTGTCTCAGGGTATGCTCGGTGCAAACCCAGGAGTTTGATTTCTCCAATGTATTGTATTTATTATCTCTGTAAGCAACTTTTTTACTCTATAGTTAGCTAAAATTTGAATCCTGAATTTGTATTGATCTTCATTTCTGTGTTTATAATGCTCAATTTGTTTACTCGTCGTTGCAAAATCTGTGAAATGAATAGGTAGAAAATTGGTATTCATGTAGATCAGTCTGAACCTTTATGTCTTTATTAGCTTCTTGCTCAGATTGTGCAAACTTGAGTTCTTTTTTTATTGTGATTTATCTAGCCATATTTTTGGTCTGATAATTAGGTTTACAGAAGCAAGTTTGGACCACCTAGTTAGAAAATTGAGAGTGTAAATAACATCTAAAACTGGTAGAGTATTAGTACTGCTCAAGAAAAACCAGCTCTCACTGACTTTTGGAGGCGCTGTTTGACATACAACACGTCACAATTCTGAATTTGTCTATTGTTATGTGCTACCTGTGATAATACGTTAGCTTTCGGTAAGATTCAAATTTTAGCAATGGCACCTAGATTGGGGATGATAGGTGTTGCATACTGCCAATGGTGTTGAAACTTGATTGGTTTTGTGTTTTCCTTTATTAGATAAAGCCAGTGACTTTTAAACTTCTATGGATGGGAAGAAAGATTTCATCAAAAGTTTCATGCATGGAAGCCTGGAGCCAAATTGCACACCCCATACCAAATAATAGGATAAACTTTCAAGAAGAATTTTGTCCATCTGATGTATTTTGAGAAACTAATGCCATATTATCTTTATAGTCTAAAAAAAAGAAGAAAAAAGGGGTATGTGAAGTCATGGTCGGAGTTTGAGCTTCAATTTGTTTTCCAGACATTTAAGTCCTTACAAACGTAGACACAGTCGTCACTTTAACCATTTTGTTCAGTGCTAACATCTAAGCTGTTTTATATTGTCTATTTAGGTTTGATGAATGCTTGAACATTATCAATCTAAATGAGTCATATTCGTTTCATGGATTGTATATGATAGTGATAGTAAAAATTACGATTCCATGCTGGAATACCTGGTGATATGTAAGGGTATATTTAATCATGCACTATAAATAACTTCTAGATGTCTACTGTCATTGGCTTTTTCTCTAATCACAATCCTGAAAACCTAGTTCTGTTCTGGGTATAAGCCATCAGATGAAGATTGTGTTTTTCCAATTCTGACGTCAATAGTCAGGATGTGGGAGGCGCCATCCTCTTTGTTAAGGCTGAAGATAGATGTGAAAACAATAATATTGTTTTATGAGTGAATTACCCTTCATTCTTTGGGTCTCCAACACTTGATTCTTAACCTTTACACAGTGTTTCTATATATGCAGACAGTGGTAAACAGAAGCATGGGTGTTTGTTTTAATTATTATTACTGACTGCCCTTCCTAATAAGATATTTCACTTATCAAAATAGGTTGATTTACCAACTTCTAATCGTAGTTTGCAACTACTGAACGTTTCGCACTTCATGTAGTAATACTGTTTAAATGTCTGATTTACTTTGTTCTGCAGAATATTGTTGTTTGATAGGGAGGCAGTTTACTCGTTTAAGTCGTTTTTAGTAAGATGTGCTATTGTCAGTTGATTCTAACACGTTGTACTTATTTTTCTACTTCTTTAATACATTCAGAACTAGGTCTCAGCGTGCCTCGATAAGAGATTGAAGAAGTTGGAAGATAGAGGCCAATGGATCAGTCTCATCACCTCGGCTACCAGCAAGTCCTTTTCATCATCCATTGGAGTTAAATTCTGAACAGTTTTGTATCCTGAAGATGTAGCACGGTAGCTGCGAGAAATGAATTCTCTGACTCGTTGCTATAATTTTTTAAATTCTCCCGCAAATATTTTGTTTACCTTCCCCATGGCTACCACAGAAATTTCCATTATGCACCGATGCATACTCGCTCATGCATGTCATACATTGCAGCATAGTAGAATTTTCGGGATTTTTCGTATACTCTATAACGGCACAGCAGCAATGTAGAGGAGAAAATAATAGTGATGATTTTGTTAAATTTCAAGGGGTGATATTCTGACGTGTGTTATAAGTTACAGTTTTCAAACTTTTATCTTTTTACCCGGAAGTTAAGTGAGGGTGCCGTTGCCAAGGTGGGCAATTGGGTTTCTGCCACGTAGCATAAAACTTGATAAAAGGTTTAGGAAGAGGAAACGTGAAGCGCAGGTGAGGGTGCGGGGCGGTCGATGTGATAAATTGATAACGTCCAAATTGTTTCCCATTTGTTTGAAAAAAGAGCTAGCCCTGAATCCCAATTTCAATGTCTCCCAACTCCTCCACCACACAATACACTTGCATGTGCGCTCTCTCTCTCTCTCTCTCTACAAAGTCCTCTGCATCTACTTTCAGACCCAAGCTCTGTGCATGTACGCAACTCATTGTCAATGTGTCACTTTCCAAACATGATTGAACTGTAACCAAGATCTAATCAGTTGTTTCGTATTCAAGCAATTCGCAGTGGTTAAGAACACTTTATTTTTCGCCTTAGATCATGTGTTCGATTTTTGCTGTCTTGTTATTTGCTTGTACGGGCGATTTTGATTCTTATAGTTGGGTGAATTTTCACTTTAGTCTGTGTAGTTTCAGTAGTTGCAAGTCATTGTCTTTGAATTGCGATGATGGATAGGGTTTGTTTTTCAACTCATTATGTCTTGAATTCAAAAGCTTCTTATTTCCTTAGTCCATCTTAGAATAGTAATATTGCGCAACCCAAAATAATACTAAAAATCCATTACTCACTGAACGAGCCATGACTGCCAGACGTTACAAATCTTATCTTATGAACATCAAAACCCCACTCCATAGCTAAATAAACAGTTGTCTTTAGCAGCTCCTTCTGCTGGTGTCTATAAATAACCTGTCCTGTGTATATGTACAGTTACTTCTTGTTGAATGGAAGTTTAATTAATTAATAAAATATATCAAAGTTGGTTGGGAAGCTTATAAAAATGGTGACCAAGACCTTGTCAGAATAAGGAGGTGGTGGGAAAGGGGACAAAACCCTTTGTAATGAACATGTACATAGGAATTGGATCCTCTCCCCGAGGCAATGCCTCGGGATTTTATTGACCGGACAACATAGGCCGTTGGATCAAAATCCAACGGCTACAGTTATTTTAACTTTAGAAGGACCCCCCTATTTGTAGCCGTTGGATCAAAATCCAACGGTCCATGTCGGTCAGCAGGATCCCGAGGCGTTGCCTCGGAGAGGATCCAATTTCATGTACATATGCCCCATGAATGGAAGCCATTTACTACTTTTGGTTTCAAAGATTTCAATTAGTGACTAATGACCATGTTAAGTAGTATTAAGCTTTAAACTAATCCTCCCAACTAAATGAGCAGTCTTCTCACCTTTGCTTGATTTGGTCATTTTATTGAGTGGAGTTGCTTTTTCTTCCATGAAGTGTGGTTGAAGGGATTCTCATTTCCTTACTAGGTCAAATGTTATCGAATTAATTCACTTTTTATCTCGATTTCGTATTATCCTAATTCAAACATTTGATAATGTTGGTGTGAAACACTTAAAGAATTATAGATGTAAGCACATCTCATCTTATTAGTGCAACAGTTGTTGAATAACAGTCAAGTACAGTAACAGTTAGGGCAATAAGTATGGTTAAAGACATTTCTCAATTATACAGTGAAATAACAATTGAGTGCATGTGTTTTTTTTCTTCAAAAGTATTTCCTATCATGAAAATAAGTTTTGAGAGATTTTTTTCTTACAAGTATGGCGATGTTTTCGCTCGGAACTCCATTCTGTTGAGGAGTGCGAGGGCATATTCTTAATCCTAACTAGAATGTAATGTAATTTTTCAATTGTTCCGAATCTTATGAGTGGAATTAATCAAATTCAAATTTTCTCATTCTGTTTCAGAATATCGGCTTATGTTTGAGTATGATGAATCACTTTGTGCTAGCCAGTTGCTAATAAACCTTTCAACCTCATATAAGAATGGAAAATTGGAGCATTTTCTTCTCCAGTGGATGAAGAGTCACGATATTCTACATTAAATTACATTAAAAAAAAAAAAAGGAGTGTTCAAATTCAAAACTTATTAAACTAAAAAGGAAAACTGTAACCAAAGCAACAATCAACCACCTGCAATTTACTTGTCATTTCCATTTCCCCCTTTTTGTGACATTAGAAAGTTAGGCTAAACTTAATTAAATTTTAATCCCAAAGTAATATGTTCAGTTTTATTATAAGATTAATATTATTTTTATTGTTTGTTACAAATTAATATTAATGCAGAAACTGGTGTGTTTGCGTTTGTCAGTGATGGCATCATAAACCAGTGAGACTGGGGTGCATGAGGGCATGAAAAAGAGGCATGTGACCACCGCAAACTTTGCTACACCCTCACGCTAATGTACAAATATTCAACAGAATTAACTATTTAATAATTAAAGAAGCAATTTTTTATTTAAATTAATTATTATTCCCACCAGTACTACTAAGGTTAAAGGTTCCCTGCTTAATTTCTTATTATTTTTCCTGTTTACTTTGTTGGCCAACGATAAGAAGCAAATCAAATTTCAGAGACAGAAAATCGTACAAATTAGAAGGGCAGCTTAAGAAAATATCACTAATTTATAGGACAATGTACAAATTAAACTTAATTAACAGATCTCTGGATCAGCAATGCCTAGGATCCTCCATGCACATATATGCAATATCATAGCATTTGTCAACTTCAATTAACAATTTATTTTTCATTTACTAGAAAATAACTTTTTTGTACGAACGAGGTGTGAAGAATCAAATTTAAACTTGAGGCTTCAAATACAAAGGTTAACGTTCTAATCAACTGAGCTGTAAAATCCTTGCACACTAAATTAGTTTACATTGCTAACAATGCATAATTTCATCATAGGCATACGCTTAAAGAATCAGTTTACTACAAAACACTTCATTTTTACAATGTAATAACAATCAAGTGAGATAACGGTTAACTTTATAATTTTCTATTCGTGAATGATAACAGAATTTTAAGCCATTTTTCTCATGTAAAGGAGTTTTGAAGTATTTGTGAGGAACCCTAAATACCAAACCTCGCTTTGAAATGGTATTTGGTTTGACCCAAGTTAAACACGAATGATTTATTTATAAATAAATGGTCGGGGACAAATTTTAGGACTGTATTACACATAGCAAGTTCTGGGTTCGAATCCTGGTGCTGATGAATCATACGATGGTGGTTAGGAAAAAATTGAAACGCCTCTGTGAGTCTCTCCAACTCTCGAAAGAGTGAACTGCCGGAACGAAGCTATCCGCTAATCCTCTTTTAAATAAATAAATAAATTAGGAAACCAAAAAAATTGAAGACAAACTAGGGACTAACTTGTATTACTGTGGCCTTGGTCCAAGTACTTGTAGACTTAATGCTGAATTATTGTGGAAGTGAAACCACGTGCAATAAAATGATAGAAAAAGTGTGGATTTTGCGAAATACATGCATCTTCAATCATTTTCCTTTTCATCGGGAATTTCGTATTTGATTTTCCCCATGTCTTCAAATTTGAGAAAATAACAAAATCTGCCAACCGGATTTCTTGCAGCAGAAAATGATGTGAAAATAATCTGCCTCTTCTTTCTAACATTCTCTGAAATGGTTAAAATCCTCCCACTGGCTTCAATCAGTTTTTCACTGAAATTCATGCAAAAATATATAATATTAGACTAGTAGTAATCTTCCTTTCTATTCTTCAAATAAAAATCGGTAAATGAAAAATAACATTGTAATTTACTGTTGTGCAATAAGTTTGTAGGTCAAGCAGTTAAGATGAATTACTCTTTATTCGAGTTTTCGTATTATTTTTATCAGTATCATTTGTGTGAAACAGGAAAAAAGAAGAAGAAGGAAAACTTAGCCACGAACCTCGGTTAATATGCTTTCAAGGCTTGTAGCTCAAGCAGTTAACATGATATACTCTGCAGTCGAGTTTTTGTATCTGGCGCCTTTATTGTCATTCGTGTCAAACTGAATAAAGATGAGGTTCTACTATAAAACTAATAAGTAATATGAGGAACAACCCAATTACTTATAAGCATATGCAAAGTCCCTCATTTTGCCGATGTTGGATTCACTCTCAACACAACCCCTCACGTGTGACAAATTTTCAAACCTAACATGTGGACTCACAAATCAGGTGACATGGAGCATGTGTGGTTATTAAGCTTCACACATGGGACAACCTACTCTGATACCATGAAGAAAGTTGATGTTGCACCATAATTCCAATTGACAATATGAGGAGTAGCCCAACTTCTTATAAGTACATATAAGGCCTCTCATTTCTCCAAAATGAGATTCACTCCTAGCACAAACCGATAAAGAAAACAAAACAAAACAAGATTAGTTTTAGCTGTGTGAATGATGGGTAATTACTTACTAAACAGGAGGAGATAGATTAAATAGGGTGGAGTCCAGCAATTGTTGTGATGAAAATTATGATTAGGTTTGGAGACCTTTCACTTGGTGATGGTGGGTTGTCAACAAGATAACATGATTATCTCTTACCAGACACCAACATAGTGGGTGCACATTTGGACAACTATAACATGTATACATCAAAATTCCATTTCAATCATCTGGAGTCTGTCCCCATGAACAATTTTTTGCCAATAATTACCTTAATTACATATAAATATCATGCATACAAACCCTAGATATGAGGAAAAAGTAGTGTTAATTCATGTAGAAAACGAATCATTAACTTGGAAATTAGGGTTATTTCTTAATAACAATGATGACAAAGATGATGATTCATGATGAAGATGATACTACTGCAACTCTTTTAAACGCACTGGACGCAATTTCAAATCCTAAACATCGTGGTAAGGGCAAACGAATTATGATGGTTTCCCAATGAAAAGATATGAATTATGTTCAATGGAAATTATTTTCACAATAGAGATGAGTGCATGATGAATTCTTGTAAGTCAAAATAGATATTTGTTTTTCGTTTTTAAGGACGTTAGTGGAGTTCAGTCGACTTCGAACTATTTTGTGGTAATTTTTTTCTTTGTTTGTTTTAAGAGAGGAACTTTTTCACTATGAACAAAACCAGTGTGCATTTTGCTCAATTGAATTTTAGAAAAAGAAAATAACATTACGAAGACGAAATTGTCTAATTAACAAAAAGAAAAAAAGAAGAAGATCAACTGGGCCCCACTAAATTAACCTCGAAAAGTTGCCTAGTTTTAGCTAACTCTCGCTTCTCCACTAGATCAGCTGCCGGAAATCGGGCCCCACGTGCTGATGAATCAAGTAATCTCCGCCGTTGCTTACGTCAAAGACCATATTCTGATGGTGGTGGTGGTGCGGAGGCGGCACCTGGTGAATATACGTCTGATGCGCCCTTCCCATCTCCTTCTGCCGCCGCAGCTCCAGTACCTTACGGTGCGAGTTGGAGTGCTTCGTCAGAACGAACGTCGGGCTCGCCGCGGGTCGGTACTCTGGCACGAGCCTACCCGACTTGTACCGAACCCCGCACGCATTACACAGTGTCTTCGGACCCATCGGCCCCGTCCGCCACTGCGGCGTTTTGTCGGTCGCGCAATGCAGGCACTTCCTCCCGTCACCGTGCCCGCCGCCCGAACCTTCCTGGCTCTCCTTCTTTTTCGGTGCCGACTTCACCGTCTTCTTCCCGGTGCTTGACGGCTGCGGTAGCGGTGTCGCCGCCTCCGCCGCCGACCCCAGAACGTCGGATTGTTCCTTAGTCGAGGACAGGAGGAGGATGCGGGAGGTCCAGTTGCACGGGGCGCCCCGGGACCGCTTGCTTCGGGCCTTGGCGGGTACCGAAACTTCCGAGTTGAATATCGGGTTGGAATTGCTGTAAGGATTGTTGTTGGTTCGGGTGGGGTCCGGTTGGAGTAGTCGGGTTTCGGAGGCGGCGTGGTCGGGTCGGGCTTTCATTCCGGATATCAGCTGCAGCCTTTGCAGGTCCTCACTGGAAAACGACTCCTCCACGAAATTCGACAGCCATTCGAGCTCAGCCAAATCGTCGTACTGTAAAAACAAATAATTCAAAATTCACATAAATAATTAAGTAATCAAAACCCCACTTAAATTTAAATTTTAAATTTTCCATTTTTTCATTTCGAATTCCGAAGAACTGTAGGCAGGGCCAAGTGACAAATTGCGTAACGCCGAGAACTCAATTCATTAAAATTCAATCATTATTTTGTCGTTTTTTATTTTTGGGATTGAAAAACAAATTCAAAAATCAAATTGACCCAAAAAAATTAACTAAATTATATACCGGGACGCAGAGTTCACTGGATAAGGGGCCGTCGGCGAGATTCCGGGACCCGAAAAGGGGTTCGGAGCCCGACAAGGAGGAAGAATTGCAGCTGTCCATGACGGTGAGTGTCGAAGAGTCGGTGGAGTTTCCGGCAGCGTTCTCGAAAACAGCAGCAGCAGGACAGCCGCCGTCGGTAATGACAGCGTCGTCGTCATTGGAAAAGTCGAGGAGGTCCTCCACCTTGAAGTGGTCCCCGCCACCACTACCAACGGCGGTCTTGTTGTTGTCGAAGGGATGGCGCTTTTCGGGTGCGAATTGCGGGCAGAAATAGTTCTGGTAATACTCCGGAGCTTCCATGGCTGCAAGGGAGCCCTAGAATTTTAGTCAGTAATTATTTTCTTGGGTTATTTTCTGGTTTTTTTTTTTTGGGCCTTGGAGTTAAGGCAATGAGAAAAGGGAGGGAATGAGAGGAGAGGGAAAGTAGTGAGGGAGGAGTGAGAGAGAAAGTGTAGGAAGAGGGAGAGAGCTGAGAGGGTTTATTTTGCGCTTCAAGAGGGACAGACGGACACCTAAAATGGTGGATTTTGACGAGAGCAAAAATAAAAGTCACCCCCCTCTCTAAAAAAATTAAAAATTAAAAATTAAAGCAAATTTTTTAATTTTAAAAGAAAAGATAAGAAAATCACTTATTACAACAAAAATTTAAAGAGCCTTTAATTTTGATTTAAAGAGAAATCTCGCCATGTTTACTTTTGTGCCCTTTTGGCTCTTTTCGCTTCTTTTGTGTTCAAGTTTTGCCCATTTGCCATTTATCATTTGCTTTAACAGGAAAGAAAATCTTAGACTGAGATAGTTACACTGCTGCATAGTATTACTAATTAATAAATTTAGTGTGTTGTATTATTAACAGTTGAATAAATGATACGTTAGACTTAAGAGACATACTTATTTATGATTGGCACGCCTCTAGAGAGGCATTCCGACCAAGTACAATATTACGATGCGAAAAAGTTACAGTAAAATACATGTGTATATTATAGTCAGCGACAAAGCTAGAATTTCATGGGTGTGAGGGCATCTCACATATATGGGTAATTTGAACTCATAACATGAAAGGTTAGAGTAATTTGCACAAAAATTGAAAGACTTTAGATTCAACAACGAAAACTAAAAGCATTGCACAAATCAGGAAACCCAAATATAAGGTAAAGAGTAACCATTTTTTTTTAAAAAAAGAGATAAGTTAAGGCCAAAGAAAAGCTAATAGAATAAGGAGATAAAGTGAAGACTGCATCAAAAGAAGAACGATTAAGAGAAAAAATGATGTCTGCTTTAAAACGGGAAAAAGTTTGAATTGATAACAAACTTAAATTTCAAAGGTATTAGACTGATATACAACATCTGTTATAGTAGTAAAAAAAAAAAAAAAAAAGACAAAATGTGCCAAAGATCATTTTGGTCTCTTAATGGCTCCGCTGTTTATTATAATTTAACCTCCAAACTAAGAAATTAATCTAACAACTACACTAAGAGGACCCACTCTTTATCAAGGGTATGAAATCAGATGCACGTGCATGGATGATGATGCGGATGATCACCCGGTTGTACAACAATAATCACGGCACGTACCGCACAGAATCATTCAAGTGCATCACATGTTCGTGTTGCTTTTGCACTGGACTACTTAGACCTGGTTTGGTATTGAGGTGATTCTGAAAAAAGCTGCTATCAAAAAAAGCTGGGAGCTGTTTTTGTGTTTGGTAAACACTCAGCTTCAGCTTTTTTTCACAGTTTTGGATGAAAAAAAGCCAAAAACAAGAAGCTGCAAAACCTAGCTTTGAAAAACTGGCTTTTTTTCACATCTGTTTTACATAAAAGTTTACCAAACACTCTAATACTGCTTTTTTTTTTCAAAAGCACTTTTACAAAAAAGTTTACCAAACACTCTGCTGCTTTATTTCACAGCTGCTTATTCTCACAGCACAGCAGAAGCAGCTTTTTTTCAAAGCACAGCAATACCAAACCAGCCCTTAAGCATGGGCAAAATTGGCAACACAAGGTTAACAGTCGTGATGCATGGAGGGTAAAATCGTAAAGTTCACGTGATTTTTCAATTGGATTATTTAACATAAAATAAAAGTTAAAACGTGATTAAGAGTTAAAATTCAACCCCTTAGGAACCGATCTAGCAGGTTTGTCGCTGAGACTTGTGCATTTGCGTCCAAGTTTACACAGACCGATTCCTCTGCTTTTATTTAATTTTTTTATTTTTTAATAATTTTATCTTTTTTCTTCTTCTGATTTTTACCCAATTTTTAATTACTTATAATATTCGTTTTTTTTTTTTTTTTTGCCCCCTAGGTAATCTCTGTGCAAAATGGTTTGTTTAATGGGAAGGCCTCACTTGTAAGCACGACGTCTGCAGCTCGACTTCAGCTAATCAACGGCTGGGATCTTCCCAACGTGTTTCCCTCTTACTACTACCCTGCCAGGCTGCCATATAGGGTTTCACTTGTCACCTCTCCTTGCCGCGTAGGATTATGACCGAGTAAGACACTTCTTTTACTAACTACTAGAGTATATAATCTGCCTTACAATTATTGAAAAACTAACTTACACGATTCAAGTATAATGGTATGTAAAGTTTGCTGTTAGAAATAGTCGCTCTCTAATTCTCTATGATTGAATGCACACGCGTGATGTTTCATATTTTCTTAAATTAGATACACGATTAATGTCATTTCGGTTACATATTTTGTTGCTCCAAATACTATTCAGTTAGAAGAAATTTATGTTTATTAACAAGTTGTCTGTAACATAGTTTGTTAAAACATGTATCCTTGCACTGAAATTATATGTTTGGCTATCCATCGTCTAATATTGCTCATCAAAGAAATTAAAGTGATATTAATTACCTCGTATTTGTTTTTTGTATGCGTGAATGAATAATTATTCAACACGCTTATGTTTTTCAAAGAATAATTGAAAGAAGAAAAATAAATATTTTTTCCAAAAATATATGATAATTATGTTAAATTTATCTAAACAACAGAAAACAAATTCAAATTCAAGTTCAATAATTAAATACGATCAAATTATATAGATTAAAAAGAGAAAAAAGCTATCATACCTTTCATGTTTCAAAATTTTATTTGTGTTAAGTAGGGTTAGGAACAATTTGATTCCAATGCCATTGAATTTTGATTAGATTGCCCCCAACAAACAGTAACTCTCTCTACCTCCTCCAACAATCTAATCTTACTACCAAAAAAAAAAAACGAGAAACGACGTCGTCCAATTAACATGCATAATTTAAGCTCATGGGCGGTGAACACTTTCCGGAGCGACAAATAGATGATGGTAATCACACTGTTGAACGTCGGGTAGTCACCACGTGGCAGACATCGAGAAGTGCTGGCTTGAGTGAGGTGGGTCCCGAATCTGATGGCACCAATCCCAATTTAAGTCTGGGCTAGAATTGGATAGGTGTTACCGTTCTTATTTATTGCTCTTAAATTTTATTTTATTTTATTTTTGATAATTGTTATTGCACTCTAAAAATCTTATTTTACATTTCAAACTTATTATAATTAGAAAGAAAAATACATTTGTAAGGAGTGTAAAATGAGATTTTTGGAGTGCTAATAACAATTCCCTTATTTTTTTGATAATTTTCTTTTCTTTCTCACTTTTTGCGTGAATTAAAAGAGTGCATTTTTGTTAACCACCATTTAGTGTGGTGTATGCTTATCACCCAATTTATCATGAGTTTGAATTTTGAGATTTGTGCTCATCCACTATACAAATCTCGAAATTCAAACTCATCTAACGATGATAAATAGAATGGTGAGCATACACCACATTAAATAGTGGTCAGCAAAAATGCTCCCGAATTAAAAGGAAAGCCTGATAAAGAGAGCTGTAGGTTGGCTTGGAGGGTTTTCGTTTTTCACATATTATTTCGTCTTTTAATCAATTTTTTTGGTAATATTATTAATTATTTTCTACCCGGAAAAATATTATCGACATTATAAAAACTTAATTGTGCACTTAAATTCTCTGTATATTTATATAAAAAGTTTATAATTAAATTTTTGAAGCGTTTTTTGAAAAATATTTGACATATTTTATTTGGCATGGGGTCCAGTTTGCACGAGATAGAGCAATATCAGCTGCCCCTGTGCGTGCTTTCGCTCGTGTCGTAAGGCTAAACTGGCGGTGGTGTCGTGAATCAATAACTCATTGCCCTTTGTGAGATGTTCCGACCCGATATGTTGTTGTTGTTTTTTTATTTTGAGCATTGTTATTAGCACTTCAAAAATTTTATTCTACACTTTTTATAAGTGTATTTTTCTTTCTAATTATAGAAAGTTTGGAGTGCCAAATGAGATTTTGGGGTGTTAATAACAATTTTTAATAACAATTCCCTTTATTTTTAGCAAACAATATTATTTATATTAAAAGGAGTGGATGAGTTTAGCCTCTAAATGAGTTAGCAATGATATAGTTCAAATTCGCATTTGGCAAGAATCGAACCTAAGACCTCTCACTTATAAGTACAGATGAATACCACTAAACCGTAGTACCAAGTAACTTAACTTTAGAATTTAGATATAAATCATGCATGGGTTTTGGGATGACAATTTAACCCGTCAAATCCGATCCCCGCAAGTAATCGATCCAAATGATTAGGTTTCAAGCATAAAATTTCAGATATTTTAAGGTTATGGGTAATCGTCGGGTAAATTTTTCGATTTTGGGTTCAGTTATGGTTATTGGGGTATTCGCCCCAAATCCATACCCGAAACCGAACCATTTCATCAATGAATACAAAAATATAAATATTTATTGTATGAAAAGGAGTTGTTAATAATCATGCATTGAAGCCTCACGGATATGGAGGTGGACGAGTGTGAGGAGACGACTCTACATGATGTGAACATGGAGGAGGAGATAAGAGGAAGCAGTAGCAGGCTCAGCAAGAGGCCTATGATGAGGATGATGACATGCATGATGGTGCTCAAAGGGTGCAGTGTGCCCAATAGTGATGACTCATGCTAGTTTTTGAAAACTTGTACAAGTTATTAATACAAATATATAAATATCATAATGGGGAAAACCGTTCCTCGATCACAAATCCGTCACCCAATAGGTTCGATTATGGGGAAAAACTATTCGAGAATTCTACGGGTTTAGATTCGGAGAAAATAAATGAGTTCGGGTATGGGGATGACACATCCGAACCCAATTTGCCCCGTTGCCATCCTTGCATGGGTTGATGATTCATCACCATGTAGTTTACGATAACGTGCATGCAAGAAAGGCTGAAGGAAATACAAAGAAATATGTTTTTGATAGAAAAAGAAGTATAAGGGAAGAGGTTTGTAAATAATGAAGAACCTGGGTTGCTTTAGAAAATAAATAAATAAATAATAGGGTGCATATTATTAAAGGAAAACTAATGAAAAGATCTTAAAAATTTTGAGATTTAACGATAAGGACAAAATAAAAGGTAAAGTAAATAGTATCAGGATTAACTTTTTAATGTAAAAATGTAATTTTTCGTTAAAGTGAACAGTAATTAAGGTTTCCACTTGTAAAGCTAATAGAAAAGCAAAAAGTAATTAGAATTTGATCGTCAAAATGGAGCAAGAATTATATTCATTATTTTAATACAAACAATATTACTACTTTAAAACAGCAAAGAAAACAAAAATTTTAACTCGAGATGCACTGTGTTAGAAAAAAATGCCTAACCATCATGGCTTTCCTTGGCGTCAGGAGAGGTAAAATGTTACAATGTAACGAGAAAGGGTATAGAAGCTGTATGCAATGCCGCATGGCCAAGCTACTCCGCAACTTTTGTACGTGTAACAGAGAGTTTGCGTTGACCAAAGGTTGCTTAGTCAAATGAATTAAGCAAAGGCCTGATTTCTCAGGGAAAAGCCCGACAGCCTTGCATTGCAAGCCCAAGTCCTTTTCTTTTTCAATTTTTGGTGCTGTGGTGGGGTCGTATTTACCACTTTGCCATCCCAGCCAGCTCCGCTGTCCTTGGTTTCTTCCTTTGGTTGCTTAAGTCAAGTGCTTAATTAAGCTTTTTGATACTTGCAAATGGAATTCCCCAAAAAAGAATAACTCATGTAGTAGGCAAAGTGCATATGTGGAATCAAGCAAATGTATAAGAACTCGTTTGGATATATACTTTTGAAACGACTGAAGACATATTTGGTGAAAATGTTTTTAGAACCAATCATTAGTAAAGATGTAAATAAATTATGGAAAAACACTAAAAGTGCTTCCTTCTTGGAGAAAGCACTTTAAGCGCTTTTGAAACCCAAAAATATTTTCTCTAAAAGTGCTTTTGGTCATTTTAAAAGCACGTACAAACGAGCCCTAAGTCAATTTGTATAATTTCAACGAGACAAACTTCCTTATTACTGGCTGTATATAATTGGTTACACTCAAGATTAATTCAATTTCTACTGGTTGTTTAACGTATCATTCTTTTAATAGAGAAGAGACCAAACTCCACTGATACCAGGGGAATGATACCTTGGCATAAGCTTTTCACTCTCTCTTTGTCCGACAAGGTGACAACCATGGTCGGAGAGGGAGTTGAGTGATAGATGTGTTTTTATTTTTATTTAACGGGGCGAAATAAATTATAAATAAATATATATATTTTTTCTTTGTAAAGGTTAAAAGTTCTTTTTACAATCGAAAGCACTTCTATCAGAAAACACTACAAAGATCATTTTGGATTTCAACCATTCTTCTGATATAAGTGTGTACGAAAATCTCAATTTTTTTGTTCTCCAAAAAAAAAAAAAAAAAAAATCTCAGTTTTTTTGTTGGGTTTGATAACAAGAAAATGGGCTCGGGTTTAATGAGACCTTTACCTGGACCAAGCTCCTCCAATCCAATAGAGGCCCATATACCAATAAACAATGGAGGGGACACAAAGCTTTGTGAATTGCGATGGAGCACTGAAACCTCAGACCTTGACCGGAGTCAGATCGAGCTCGAAATCAGAGAGAGAGAGAGAGAGAGAGAGAGAGGGGCAAAGCAATGGAGAAGAAGCAGAGCAAACCAATGGAGCTGTTAAACACGATGGTATCAGAGCCATACTATCTGCTCCATTTCTTGGCTTTTTTCTCCTACCTCGTCATCCGTACCTCCGCCTCCCACGTCCTCTCCGCCCACATCACCGATCACCTCCTCCACCGAGTAATTTTCCATCCCTTACTCTATCTCTCTCTCCCTTTCCATTTTGATTCATAAATTTACCTTCCTTTTTTTTTTATATGATCGTAATTTTTTTCAGGAAATTCAAGCAGCTTTGACATTTGGGCTCTTGACTGCAATCAAGGTTTGGATTTTTTCACCTTCAGCATTGCAATTGGGGCAAAACCCACGTTTAATTTTCAATTTATGTTTCTGGGCATTTTGTTTTTTAAATGTTTTATGTGGAATTATAGATGGTGAGGGAAGAAACTTGGGAAGGATTTATCGCTGATTCACTCTTTTTTGCTAAGGTGAGACAAATAATTATCTTCATTTCCACCACTGATTAGTCTTAATCATCATTTTAACAATGTATCCGTTGTATTATTGGGCGTAGCGATTTTGGCATCTACCAGTTTAGCTTCTGGCACAATGTGGTCGTTGTATTATTAATTCTCGATTTAACACTCAGGGAATGCCAGAAGCTAAACTGGGACCGTGAAAATCGCTAGCCTATGGCATATGGAGCTCATATATTCATAATCAACCTAAGCTGAAACTGATATTAACAAACAAAATGACAATGCCGGTGATTACGATCAAATTCCACTTTTTGTATACACCTATTTCTACGCGGGGTAATTTGTTTGTTCTGTTTTCAGATTTTTCTTATCGGTCTCACTTTAATTCTGGACCTGCCACTTGACTCTCTGGTATGTTGTGGTGTTTACAGGTGCGTATATCTTCAAATTCCCTTTCTTTTTTCTGCAGTGATATATATATTTTGATCTAAATGCACATTTGTTGTTGTTTTATTTTGTGCAGTGATATATATTTTCACACAACAACCTGCCTTTCAAAAATTAGGTACCTGATAAACTGTTTTATTTCCCCGTCTTTCTTTCTTTTCCTTTCCTTTTCCTCTGTTTGCATCATGTAGATTAATGCAAATTGTGAACGAGTTTTGCTTTTTATATAATGACTTAAACTAAAAACTTATTCTCTGTTTTCATTTTTCAAATTCTCTCAGGTACTTCTAGTAAATTGACACCGTTGCAGTTAGAAAGTTTGCTGACTGAAGGGAGCACATCGAAACATTGGCTGGTTTGTTGTGCAGACTTTTTCTCGAGATTTTTATTTTCATAAGATATAGAGTATTGTGCTATATACATCATTTCAATAAATGCACTGATAGTATACGAAAGAGAGTTAAATGTTCTCTTTTGGTATATTTAATATGGAATATTTGGCAGATTGAATTTCGTGCTTCTTACTCTCCTGCTTGCATCCGCACAAGTCGGTGCTTTCCTGAGCTTTCAATTACGTATGTGATCATTTGACCTTTTTTCTCCTTTAAATTGTTTTCGTGGTTGTTCCTATAATCGTATTACTTGTTACTGAATTTTGTGTTGGCCATGAATCATTATCTACAGATATTCCAACAAAAATTTCTCTTTTGGAATAGTTGATCTCGGACTCTTCCCAAACACTGCAGAGTATTTTGGAATATCCCTTTCTGGTAAATGATATTGGATAACAAATCCTGAACTTGATTATTAATCTTTAATCGAAATTCTTCAATTACCTCTAAAGCCAAAGTACATAATATGTCTTCCATATTGCTATATTTAGTTACTGGCTTACCGCCCAGCAATCCATACTGAGATCATGTACTTGCAGGGAGCATGGGACAACTTCCTACCTATGTCTTATTCACGAATGGAGCTGAAGTTGCACGCTATCCACAACTAGAATCTCAAGCAAAAGCATTTCGTGATGCCCATAACTAAGGTACCGGGACAAATTATATTGCCTAGACCGCAGTCAATTTTCCTGTTTTCCGTTATTTCTAATTGCAACCACCTTATTCTTCCCTTCCATATCCAACATAGCTAGGTATGAACCAATTTTGTAGTCGTTGGTCTCAAGTTGTTTTCGATTTCCCAGAACCTCAATCGACTGATGATTTCAGTTGGGTTCACCAGCTCTTTGAGTAACATAATCAAATATTTCCAATTCAATCTATCATGCTTTGATAATACTTAGTTCAACAGGTGATTTCATGTTAATGTGGTCCGACTTCTTGTGACTTATTTCTACGGGCCTCTTGTTTGTGTTGCAGAGATTTCTTTCGGGGTACTTTAAGCTCGACAGGCACCTTCTTGAGTATATAAACGGTAAATAGGTATTTGATATTGATCCATACTATATACTTTTCATTCTTCAGTGCTTCCAATTTTGATTCCACTTGTATGTTAACAAGAACTTGTACTAATTACGTTTAAACTTTTTCCTCCATTTCACATGGAAGATGAGATTTTGAGCAAACATGATTAAAAACAAAAGAGAAAAATTTACATTTTTGCTTGATTCGGTGTTAAATGTACATTTATTACATAACCAAGCATTAATTAAAAGGAAAACTAATGAAAATAGCTTGAAACTTTGAGTTTTAATGATACGGACAAAATAAATGGTAAAGTGAATAGTATCAGGTTTGACTTTTTAGTTTTAAAATGTGGTTTTTCGTTAAAGTGAACAGTACCGTAGACTTTTCGTTAAAACTTCCTTAATTCAACTCTATTCCGAAATATTAAGGAATTCAATTTTGGATTTTAAGTCGACCCACATTTTTCCTCATTCCATGGATGTTAGGAAACGTTGGAATGCTTCGGGAAAAGTGCAATTCTATTTCTTCCCACCCCAATCTAGTTTGGTAATTACGCCATGAATGTTTCGGAATCCTCATAACTTTTGCATCTTGAACAAATTAAGCAGATTGTAGAAGCGAAAATTTTTGGCGGAGAATTTCAATACTTGTCATAACTCCTGTATTTTGTAAAAAGTTGGGAGAAATGGTTGATTTGTGACACATACATCATAGATATTTAACCTTATGGAGTCATGTGAATGCTTGTAGCTCAAGCGGTTAAAAGCGTCCGGTCGTACCTAACTTTTGTGTCCGGTTATCCCTCCACCCAAAACTTTTACGGAGATGAGGATGGGTTGGGCCTAGACCATTACGTTCAAGCACTTTGGGCCTAATCTTATGGATTTGTTTCTTCTTACTTGGGCTCAGTCACCAGTTAGAGTTATAGTGGGGCCGTCCAGTCGCCTACTAGTTTAAATGCGGTGGGAAAACGGAAAACCGTCGCGGCCAATCCATTTAAAGTGGCGCCGCCGAATATTCTACCATTTGTTTGTGATTTATGATGCGAGAGAGGATTTTCAATGTGACCGAAACACGAAGTGGTATACTACGTATCACAATATAAATTGTGGGATATGTATGTTAAAAAATTAATAACTTAAAAAATAAAAAATTTCACTACTTATATAAAAATATATGATGTATTACTCATATTCCGATCACAATAAATAAGTTCTCTTGAAAGAGCACAGATGAGTATATCAAATTCTCATCACGATCCGGGTGGGTCCTAATCTAGCCGCTTTGTGGTTCCCACCAATCCATCTCCTCTCCTCTCAATCTCATCTCCCATTTGGTTGTCGGCTCCTCGCAGGCACGCGTAGCCCGGCACTATTCAAGCTTTCTCACTTCCATTAACTTGTGTTTCGCGATGTACCCTTCCTACTTCCTTCCCTCATTTAATACTAATATAATTTCTTCGTAAATATTCATCCATCTGCTTTGCGTGCCTTTCTTCAATGGTGGTGCTACTGAGTACTGACATTTTCTTTCTACTTCTTCGGATTTCATTTTTATTATATACAATATCAAAATATAATTTAAACCGTTTATTTTTTAAGTTACTAATAAACTATCTCTTTCTCATTTTCATCATATTAATGTATGTGACACTCAAATTATAGAGGCGACAAAGCAAAAAGAAATCAAGACCAATGTATCACGAGTCCCTTTATTTAACAATAATATATGTCATACATTGATTAGACTGTTTTTCAACTTAGTTCTATCATGTGCATGCGCAATGCATACCCTCATGCATGATGCATGTTTGTTGGAGCTGAAAGATCTGACATTATCGTCTTAGCACATGCATACATTATATACGATCATCGATCCATCTCTCATTGTTACTTCTAACAAGTAAATAAGAGATTTTATCCGTCACGTTCATTTATCTTTAAACATGAAGTCGGTAGGTAACATTTCTTTCTATTAACAATTAAAAAAAAAAAAGGCTAGTAAAAAATTTGGTTGACAGATTGTGCTGTAAAAGGGGGAGGCACGATTAACAAAGAACTGAGTGATGACATTTGTGATGGGAATTAATTAGTACCAGAAATGGGCAAGCAAAACAGTAAATGATTTGAGCAACTAAAAGATGCTTTGCACCTCCACTACCAGATTATTATCCCTAAGAGTAAAATGGGCGCTAATAAATTGGGGTCCACCGTCCACGGCGGCGACAGCCGGCCAACAATTACTCCAACCACAATAAATCTCGCCAAATGCAAAATTAATGAGGAGGACAAAGAGACAGGGATCCGTCGTGTCACTAATAATGGATGTACATACATATCAAATGATTCATTCGGAGTTCAAAAAATATAAATGTGAAGGACTTCAAAAGGACCTTTTGAATGTTTGGTATGGGTCTCTCATTTACTCACTAAGTGTTTAGTGTAATGTTTGCTAGACACGATAGAAATCATTAGATTGCTTTGGCATGCGTCGATATCTTTTGACATGTCTGTAACATAGTTCGGTTGAAGATAACAAATCCACCAAGTTTTAAACAAAATATCTCTGTGAATAAACTGAATTTTTTTTTCACACTTCCCGCTTTATTTCTATTAAAAAACTTTAAACTTTAACACTAAGACCCCCAACGTTCCAAATCATGAATCAGCCAGTACGTTTCACAGTAAAAGGAGACGAAGATTGATATAAAAGAGTGCAGTGAGTGAGTGTAAAGCAAATCCGTTACGTTGACGAAACGAAAGTAAAAGCATAAAATAACGCATCCCGAAGAGAATACAAAAGAGCAGAAGAGAATGTCATTCTGCCTCTCTCTCTGTGACAGCACCACCACCGAAAGATGGCGACACTAGTTCTATTCACGGTGGTCCCGTGACTCTATTTTTATATATCCACTTCCCTATGTCCGCCCTAGCGCCGCTGCTTCTAAGCAACTCCAAATTGCATGTGTTTGTTCGTGGTCCAACCAATGCACCCATGGATTTCATGTATATTAATTCATTTTACGAGGGATACTACGTACCTATTGTTATTCAATTTCAAATCTCAAAAAGATTGGAACTAGTTGCTAATGTAGTATAAATTCAAAACTTATATCGAACCGAATCAACCAAATCTTCGTAGTTTTTTTAGTAATTTTATAGTAAAGAAAGTTGAAGTTCCATCATAAAACCAATTGAGAATATGAAAAGTAGTCCAACATCTTATAAGCTTATGTAAGGTCTCTCCTTCAATTTATGTGAGACTCATTCTCAACAAGCCCCTCATGTGTGGGGTGATGTGGAGCGCATGTGGCCATTTGGCTTCACACGTGGGACAACCTGCTCTGATATCATGAAAAAAGTTAAGGTTCCATCATAAAACCAATTTACAATATTGAGAGTAGCCCAACCTCTTATAAGCTCATGTAAGGTCCATCCTCCCATCAATTGGTGACTCATTCTCAACATATGGTACATGTTTTTTTTTCCCTATTTGTCAACTTCATAAGTTACTATATATGCCAACACTATATTAAGTTTGTGGACCTAATCTTATACGGTCGTTTTGATTCTTTACTTCCATGCGTTTATTAAAACATGAATTCTGACACATAGAATCGAAACATGCATGAAAAACCGTAATTGAAATCTTGAAAATCATGAATCATATAAACTTCTTGTTGATCTCATCCCCATTCTTTACTCCATTCTTCGATTCATAACCTTTTTCGTTCAAAGTAAATAGACATGTCATAATTTCTTTTCCTTTCTCCAAAACTCTCACGCAACCTCCCTATTACCCATCTTTTGTCGTTAACGATATCCCCCTCCTTACCGAAACATGTCATCTTATATTTCCTCCATATCTCAACCCTACATGGAGCCTATCCTCCCTTGATTTTGTGGAGTTCCCTTTCTTTCTTAACCGAAATTTAGCCCTAGCAATCTCTAGCCTCATTCTTTTCTAATTCTTCGCTCGTTTTATCAGTATCTTACATGTTAGAAATATTTAAGATTTTGCAATGTTATCGTCAATTACATGTGTTATTAGCAATTATTGACGTTTGTATATTACATACTTTTTTTTAAAAGAAATGATAGAATTTTATTAATAAAAGAGAAAAGATACAGAAGCCAAATTACATATTAAACAATAACGATAACAACATTGTATGCCCTGGCATTATAGTAACTCGTTTTGTAAGAGAATGCTACTGAAACTTTCTCAAAAGTGGGATTCTCTGTGAATTTTCTGTCATCTCGTGTTTTTGACACAATGTTTAATATTATTATCATAAAAATTAACGTTAAAATGTGAAGCGACAAAAAATTCATAAATAATCTCACTTTAAAAGAATTCCCTTAAAATCTCTCTGTTTTGTAATGTAAATTTGATGATAGCACATCACTTTTACAACCTATACAAACTAAATAAATTGACACGGTATAGAAAACGGTAAACATGAGGGGGTCGGCAAGGAGGAGCACGTTGTAAAGCTGAGGGGAGGAGCCATCACGCGTGCGGGGGCCACATCCTTTTGGGCCCACACGTGTGGACCACACCCAGACATGGACTGCCGGCGTGGATCACACTCTACCCACTAAACGACACTTGTCGACCTGCGACATGCTCAAAATTTTTACCAACAAAAAAGTTTTAATAAGTAATAAAAAAAAGAAAATTATTATTAATATTTCAAAATTTTCATTCTATATTTCTCATAAATATATATTTTTTTTCAATTATGTAAGGTTTGGAGTGTCAAATAAGATTTTTGAATTCTTAATAACAATTTCTTAAAAAAATAAAAAATAAAAAATCACATTTGGGGGCACGCGTCTCTATCCTACCACCGGGAATGGCGGGGGTAATGCCATCACTTTTACCAGCCCACATGCTTCAGTCACACACCGTTGACATATAGTAAACAATTAATTTTTAGGGCCCTCTGTTTTTATTTTCTTTTGTGTTAGGCTACTGATGTTGCATGCCTCCTTCCCTTTTACGATAGATTAAATCTTGGGATTAAAGCTAAAATCTTTGAGTGCGTTTGTTGTATCGAACTATTTCAAATTAGACTAGCTTCAACATTAAACTGGACTGATTTTGTGAAGCATTTGGGTATAATATCAGACTAAGAAATAAGATAATGAACAACAACTTACAAAGAAACCTCCCTACTCAATATAGAGGACAAACG